GTGCTATTTGTATGCTATTTGTAAATAAATAGCCATGAGGCAATTTTATCAAGGACTTTATAAGATTATATTTGTATTTGTAACATTATTCTAATGTTCTAAATGTTTTTTCAGTGTAGATGAATGGGCCATGCGTGACTCACAGAAGTTACTCACGCGAATGTTGGTAGTGTGGGAGCAAACGTAGGTCGATGCGGTGCGTGTTACCCAGGTGTAGGATGTTTGATGCTGGCCGGCACTCTCGCCCTCTCCAGCAGAGCTCCTGCCACTTCATCTCAACCGCCTCTTGGAGTTAGTCTTCATCGCCTAGGAAACGGTTTCACGAGTGGCCCATCTCTCGCTCTCCCTCTGTGTGTGTGTTTTGCTCTGTCTACATTTCACTCACGCTCTCCCCCGCAGCCCAGCCGAAGGGGTAGGAGGTGTTGTGGGGGTGACATCACTAACAAAGCCAAACTTCTGCTGGTCACGATCTTGGTGGCATTTGGTGGCATTCTAAGGTCGCAATCTTAGATGAACACACAAACACATTTCTCAAAGATCACCCACTATTTGATCTCCTGTCTCTCTCCTGTCTCTATATTTTTCTGCATTTGCATTTACAATGCATTTTTACTGCAGAAGACCTAAATGATTTGAATGGAGCTTATTATATATGCGATGAATGGATATAATAGCGATATGGCTTAGCGGTATTATTAAATTGCAAATGCTGCGATTTAATCAATAAATATATGCGCTGTGTGTTTCAGTGTGAAGCGCGACACTATGTTCTTAATGATAATGAGCAGCCCATTGTCCTCCAATGTTTGCAGTCTCAGAGCGGCTCGGTTCGCAGTAAATGCTGTTCCAGACAAACTCCATCTCTGCATCTGCTCCGAGTTTGGGTCGCTTTAGTGTGGATTCGGGAATGTCCACCAACATTCTTCCCATACTTGTAATAAGAAGTGCTTATTCAGGTTTATTTATTTGTATAGCACTTTTCACAATACTGTTTTAAAGCAGCTTAACAAAAAATTATTGTTTCAATGTTCCAGTTTAAGAAGGATTTTGTTATCAGCCAGAGATCAGAGTATCAAAGTAATGTCCATACGGCAGTAATATAGCCTATGCTATAATAGAGTCAATGTTATGTGGTTAGTTAACTTCATGTATTCAGTTAAGCTAACACAATGAATGTGTTAAGGCTTGTTCACACAAAGAACGATAACTATAAAGATAACGATTAAGATATAGTTCTAAAAATCGTTCTCAACATTAAAGAATAGCAGAGATCACACCACAGCTATAACAATAACGGCTCAGAGAAACAATATTGTTGGAACCACTTTCAGAATGACAGAACGACTGATGAACGATAAAAATATTGACAGCCAATCAAAATCCATCCTGCTGTAACAAGATTGAGCAAACACTTTCATGCATAGAGGTCACTACAGTGGACAGCTATTAAAAAAGCATTTTCTTGAATTTGCACGGGTTTTGATCGCATAGTTGGACATCAACCTCTACAGTGGATCCTGGTGCATCATCCTATACATTGCAACCAAGTGGCAAGCCGTTGTGTGTCGATTCCCAGCATCAAGAAATATCTAATGAGTCTTATCACAGTTAAATTTTCCAAGTTTTGATTTTAGATTGGGAGAAAAGTCTGATTAATCATCTGTCCACTATAGTGGACCTCATGCATCAATGGCTATATTTCAGCTACAATTCATACTTATACTGTGAATATTGTTTTTGAAAATACTTAATCTGCAGTTACTTTTTTTGACTGTAAATAAATGTATTTGTATTATTAGAATGTCATTTTCCTTGACATCAAAAAAGTAATGTGATTACATAATGTATATGACTTGTAATGCATTACTTGTTAGATCAAAAAGTAATCTGATTTCGTAATGCACGTTACTTGTAATTAATTACTTTACTTGTTAGATCAAAAAGTAATCTGATTTCGTAATGCACGTTACTTGTAATTAATTACTTTACTTGTTAGATCAAAAAGTAATCTGATTCGTAATGCATGTTACCTGTAATGCGTTTCTTTACTCGTAACATCAAAAAGTAATTGATTACGTAATGCACATTACTTGTAATTAATTACTTTACTTGTTAGATCAAAAAGTAATCTGATTATGTAATGCATGTTACTTGTAATACATTACTTTACTCATAACATAAAACATCTGATTACGTAATGCACGTTACTTGTAACACATTACTTGTAACATCAAAAATGCATGTTACTTGTAATGCATTACCCCCAACACTGCTCATTTCAGATGAGATTGAAAAAAACGTATCGCTAGGTTTTCTCAGAGGAGGGCTATGCTAGAAATGTGTCCATCTCTAACATAATCAGGTTTATCAGCTAATAAGGGTAAATTGACATTTACATTTACATTTATTCATTTAGCAGATGCTTTTATCCAAAGCGACTTACAAATGAGAACAATAGAAGCAGTTCAACTAACAGTAGGACAACAATATGCAAGTGCTATGACCCGTCTCAGTTTAATCTAACGCAGTACAAGGACATTTTTTATATATTTTTTTTTTTAAAAATAAAAAAATAGAATAGAAGAGAAAGTGTTAGTATTACTGGATCAAGTGCTGCCGAAAAAGATGCGTCTATAGCCGTTTCTTGAGAATGGCTACTGGCTACGGACTCCGCAGCTCTGGTTGAGTTAGGCAGATCATTCCACCAGCAGGGAACAGTCATGGTAAAGGTCCGAGAAAGAGATTTTGTACCTCTTTGAGATGTTACCACAAGACGGCATTCGCTTGCAGAGCGCAAGTTTCTGGATGGCACGTAAGTCTGAACTGGGAGCATCTGAGTGGTTTCCACAGTTGTACCTTGACAGGCTGTAAATTTTTTTTGATGGAATCATGTCCTCATGTTCTAATATCAAAGATACGCGAAGTTCAACTTGTATGAAGGTCAATTGCCTTTGCAATATTTCACATTTATATTTTTTGTATATTTTTTGATTTGATATAATTTTATTAATTAGTTTGTTAAATATACACATATCTTTTTGATTATTGTATTATGTTTAATACAGTATCTCTTCAGTTTTAACCATAAACGCCACTCAAGTGGACATCTGAAAATCTCTTTGAAAAATGTGTACAAAAAAAAAAATCTTGTTTTTCATGCACTAAGAGGAATAAAAACACATAGGAAAATCCTGACTGAGGTTATCATAATTCGTGCATTAGGGTTAAAGTGACAGACAAGCACACGCTTAGAATAAATAGAACAATATTGTGCGCTGGTGTGGATGCTAATATAGTTATCGTTTATAGTTATCTTTATAGTTATCGTCCTTGGTTTGAATGGGCCTTTAGTCAGCAATTCCGACTTGTGCTCGTAATGATTATGGATAATGTTACAATATTATAAGGACAATATTACAATATTAGGTTTATTCAAGTTTTGGGTGTCGATCCAAAGTTGCTGTCATCTGAAATCTTTGTTTGCATCGCCTGAAAACTTGGAAGGCAAAAGAAGAACAATTTGTGTAGCTGCTGTTCATAGCAAAAAAAATGATCATGTGTATTTGGTATATTTCATCAGATATAATTGTAGTATTGTATGAGAAGTAATGTGTGAATGCTTGGCTAAAGAGATGTGTCTTTAATCTAGATTTAAAGAGAGAGAGAGAGGGTGGTTCCCAATATCCCTCCTCATCTCCTCAATCCTCCGTCCTCCATCCTATGACCGGAAACCGATCGAGCTCAGCCATCTTGAAGGACATCTCAATTCTCTAATTGCACCGTGAGGAGGCGAGGATCGAGGAGTGAGGAGGCTTCCAGAGGAGCTATGAGCGAGGATGCACAGTTGTATGCTTTGCGGAAGTGTTTTATCGACTAAACGTGATGCACATATAAATCTCCCCCCCCCCCTTCACGTCGTCACAATCATTTTAATTTATACTTTACCATTGCAGTTTATATAAACCACACATCTCACATATTTCAACAGGGTATCTTGCTTTATTATTATTTATTACTAATTTCTTAAATAACCAAACTTCAACAACATAAGGGCAGGTCCTTTGAGCGCTGCTGATGACGCAGTGAAGTGACGCTCGAGTGATCAAGTATTCCAAAGTATAAAAAAAACTTTCATTCGATTCCTCTATCCTCATTTTCTTTCCTTGCAACCTTCCCTCGCATCCTGCAGGGGGTGGAGCTGAGACGCGAGGAAAGGAAGCGAGGAAAGGAAACGAGGATGCACAAATAAGAATTGAGAAGCACCCAGTGTGTGTGTCTTAGCCTCAAAAAGGCTATTCCAGAGGTTAGAAGCTTATCAATAAATGGGATGCTTTAAGCCAAGGGCTCCCGCTCCCTGTGGTTTTCCGTCAAAAATAAAATGTTATGTTTTAACATCTGAAAATGAAGAAATTACGACAGCCTTAAATATTAGCATGGTAGTTCTATACAGTGAAATGATGCAATTGTAAAATTTTGTTTCTTTTTTATTTAGTCATTTTTATATTTTTATTTAGTAATAATAACAATAAAATAATATTTATTTATTTGTTTGTTTGTTTTATAGACATTTTGATATATAATCACAACATTTGTGTAATCCCAAATTGTGTGGCCCTATAAACAAGCACAGCAAACCTGTTTTTTAAATCACATTTTAAATGTACATTTTTATCAGTAAAATCACAATTCGATTTTTTCCCCTAATTACGGTGCACTGTCTTGCTGACTGTATGTGCAATGTAGGCTGTGTAAGTTTGTGCATGTGACGTGTTGTGTTGTGGTCGTGTATACATGCTGGACAGAGGAGCATGTTAATCATTAGGCAAAAGGGAGCACCATTAAACACCTTTGAGGAGGCTGTGCAGGGGTGAGATGAGGTGTGTGGTTGCACGTATGTCAGGGAGGGGGGTAAGTGAGGGAGTTTAAATGAAGGGATCTTGCTGTTGCCTGGCTACCGGCAGGAGCTGTTCCATCACTCTCGTCTCCAGCCACCTCTCCCACACGAGCAGCCTGCACCAGTCAATGAGCAGGTTCTCTTTCTCTACCCCCATTTTTACATATACATGCACTCACACATTGGGCAACAGTCATACACAGACTATTGAAACGGCTATTTTTCTTGTAGTCGCTATTGCAGAGCCCTGTTTGGCTTTGCGTCTGTCAAGGCGAGAGGATAGCAGACATGGAAAGCCTGTGCTGTTTCAGCAAATATCACAATGAACCAAAGGTAGGAGCTGCGTGACGATCTTTAAGTCATCTGATGTAGCCTTATCACTTCAAATGTAAAGAAGAGAGAGCTAGATCAAACAGAGGGTTGTTTTTCGCTAGTGTCACCCTAAGGGGCCGCTCACACTGGACACGTTCTTGTGTTCAAAAACAGATAGACGCAGTGCAAGCGGAATGGAACAGAATGCAGGTGTCTTGAGACATGCATTTGAAAGTGTTTTTTTTTTTTTTTTTTTTACTTCACATGAATGAGCTCAAAGGGTGCTTTTAAGTTGTGAGAGAGAGAGAGAACATTGAGGTCTACATAACAGAAGTACTGGTAAATCTTTTATTTCGTATTGTGATGCACATCAGAGTGAAATGGTTTATCCATTCCAAACAGGAAAAAAATGTTGGGTGGGGACATGGTTCTATCTATCTGTTGTTGATTGGATGGACATTGTAGTTGATTGTAAGAATGGGGCGGGTTTAAGTATTGCACAAGTTAGTGTTAAGGTTATGCGTATTTGGCATGTTGTCCGAGGTGAGGGCTGGAAAACTGGAGGGATGCTGGAAAACTGTCGTGGGACAGTATGTCTGCTGTATATACTGTATGCCTCCTGTCGTGCTAATTCAGTTGATTAACTGAATGTGCTCCTCCCGTGCTAATTTGTTTGATAATCTGAACATGCTCCTCTCGAACTTTGTCAGTAAAAAAAAAAACATTAAATGAATGTCGACATACATCAGCAGAAGATCAAGTTAAAAACATGCATGGATAAATCGCTCACAGTAACATCAATCAGATGCTTTTAGATAAAGTTACATTTATTTCCATGTCAAATTTAATGTCTGTTTTCACAACTGCAACAACTGTGCTTTTATTATAAATGCTGAGACCAATGGACCACATCACAGATCCTTATTGCCGTTACTGTCTCGTTGTCCAGGTAAAGATGTCTCAGGTGAAGCAGGTTGGCCTGCTGGCCGCTGGATGTCAGCCCTGGAATAAAGACGTGTGTGCTGCCAGTGGGGACAGGTTTGCGTATTGTGCCACGCTTGCTATATATGTGTACCAAGTAAGTGCAAACTGTTTGAATATGAATTATAGTAAACAATGAATGGACTGTTAATAAAGTAAATTGCTCTCTCCTTTTTTATTGACAAAATTAACTTAAAAGGATAGTTCACCCAAAAACTAAAATTTCGTCATTTACTTACCCTTATGGCGTTCCAAACTCATAAGACTTTTGTTTATTTTCGAAACACAAATGAATGAAGATATTTTTTATGCAACCTGAGAGTTTCAATAAGAGTAATAAATGATGATATATGCATATACATATAGAGCACAACAAATATGGTAAAGGGAATGTGTTTGTCTCGTGTTTTCTGTGAGCGTACAACTTTGGGATTTTTCTCTGGGCAGTGCGTTCTTAGACCTGTGTCTTGCAGTTGCGAGGCATGGTGTCTGGATCCTGACACTTTGATCTAGTCTTGGTTCAGTTTCAATGTCGGGGTCCTGACATCCATGCTCCATGCACTTCTGTCTGTCTTGTTTTCTGTGCGAGCACATGGCTTTTGTTGTGTTTGTTTTGACTTTTTATTTGTTTCTGTGTGCCATGTGCTCTTCTGTCTGTCTTTAGTCTTGGCCACGCCCTCTTGTTACCTGACTATTGGTTCATTTGCTCCATCTGCTCTCCCCGTGTTATCCTTCTTGTTTGCTGCCCTATTTATTCTCCTTGGCTGAATCCAAAAATGTGACTAATGTGACTTTTTATGTTATTTAACTGATTGAATTGTGTCTTTCCAGCTTGATCACAGATATAATGAGTTTAAGCTGCGAGCGATTATGTCTGAACACAAGAAGACAATCACGGCTATTTCGTGGTGTCCACACAACCCTGAAGTGTTTGCTAGTGCAAGTGCTGATAACCTGCTCATTATTTGGAACGTGGCCGAGCAGAAGGCCATTACACGGCTAGATAACACCAAAGGTACCACTGCCCACACACCTATTGTAGTGTCCTAAGAAATACACACCAGCTCAAGACACATATTCCACCTGACAGCATGTGTCTTTCAAGACACCACTCAAAATGCAAGTTTTTCTCAGACTAAAGATGAACAGTTTTTAATAATTTTAACTGAATCCTAAGATATTTTGTATAAGAAACTCTTTTTGTTTATGACTTTTGTTTATGTGAGGTCTTAAACTTGTCTAAATGGATATTTCCCAGGTATCCCAGCTTCTCTAAGCTGGTGCTGGAATGCAGGTGACAGCGTTGCGTTCGTATCCCACCGGGGTCCTCTGTACATTTGGTCCATCTCTGGGCCTGACTCAGGAGTCACTGTGCATAAGGAGGCTCACAGTTTCCTCTCGGATATCTGCCTGTTCCGCTGGCATCCATTGAAGAAGGGAAAAGTGGTGTTTGGACACACTGATGGCAGTCTGTCCGTCTTTCAACCAGGTACTGTAACTGCTTATGTTGGTTCATGTGTTAATGCTAAGAACATGTAATTCCAAACCTTTATGCATTTATTTCTTCTGCGGAACACAGAATATATTTTGACGAATGTTGGTAACTGCTACATCGGTGGCAAAGATGAGGTAAGGCGAGGATCTAAATGCAGCAAATGTTTATTAAAGAAAAACATTAAAAAAAAGAAAAGATAATCCAACCAGGGACCAGGAACATAATCCTGAACAGGAATGCAAACAGCAAAGTCAACGACTGACTTAAACACAGGGCTATAAATACACAGGGAACCTTACAAGATGACAAGGAAACAAGAACACCTGAGGGAACAATAAAGAACTAATCAGGGTTGCTGTTGTAACAAACAAGGAAGCTAATGCAAAGACAGGGGAACACAAGACAGGAATCATGACAGGAAATTAACAATTTTGGTGATCAATGAATTCCATTTTATGGACAAAAAAATAACAAAACACTGAGACATTTTTCAAATATGTTCTTTGATTGTAGCATAGAATAAAGAAAGTCATACATGATTTTAGACAACATTAGAATGAGTAAATGATGGCAGAATTTACATTTTGGGGTGAACTTTTCCTTTAATAAAAATAAAATAAAAATCTAACATCAACAGAGATTTAAAAACAACAATAATATAACTAATGATATGAACTATATCTAGATTATATAGAGTTCATATTATCGACTTTTTTTCCCTCCACCACTTTCTAAAGAAGTTGCCTGCCAGCTCCAGCATTTTTTTATCATATTCACTAAACTTTCATTTTAAACTTGATGAATGTGTAAACAGTATACAGTCAATATACCATAATAAAGTACAGAGCATCTGCTTTTAAACAAACCAACAAACAAAAAACATTTTATTCCAGATTATTATTATTATTATCATCACATTGGCTTATTGCGTGTAAGCAGTCTTCTATCCGCTCCTCCCTCGTTTGTTTCGGATCCGTAGTTGCTGCACTATTTCAGGAGATGCGTAACTGCGCCCCCTACTGTATAACAGTGAAAACATAGGTTAAAAGGCATCCATGGTGGGAAAGTGTTGTGTCATAAATGATGGAAAATAGTGTTAATGGCAGGGAAGGAGATAATAGTGCCCAGGTCTAACCTGAACAATAACATGCATTTATTTTAATTATATCACCTTAGGCTCAAAGAATCAAAAGCACGTACTGCGGCCCGAGTCGTTAGAAGGCACAGATGAGGAAGACCCCATCACAGCTCTGGAGTGGGACCCTCTCAGCACAGACTACCTACTGGTGGCCAACATGCACAATGGCATTAGACTGCTGGACTCTGAGTCTCTATGCTGCATCACTACCTTTAGTTTCCCCAGTGCTGCTGCCTCCGTGCAGTGTCTGGCCTGGGTGCCCAGTGCCCCTGGCATGTTTATCACAGGGGGTAAGATAAACACACACAGAAGGGCCAGTGGGAAATAGTAGTTTTAAGCTTTAGACCAGCTTTGATCTGATTTTAGAACTATCATTTAATTATTAATTACATTTACAGTTTGGGGTGTAGATTGAAATGGAATGCTCAGTCATATTTGCATATTCGCATCAGTTAAAGTTTTTTTTTTATCTTATTATATTGAATTCTCAAGATTCTCAAGTTGGTGTGCTAAGAGTTTGGAACGTATCAAGAGCGACACCTCTGGATAACTTTAAACTGAAGAAAACCGGCTTCCATGCACTTCATGTTTTAAATTCCCCGCCAGCAAAGAAATGTATGTGGTTTCATGTTCACCATTTAGCACTTATGTAAATGTGTTTGTGTACGGCATCATAATGACTCATATTGATTTTGGTGTTATCGCTCTCAGCCTTTAGCTCGAACTCCCCTTCCAAGAATCACTACACCTCCTCCACTAGCGAGGCTGTGCCTCCACCTACTCTTTCACAGAACCAGGCCTTCTCCCTCCCACCCGGGCACGCTGTCTGTTGTTTCATGGATGGGGGAGTTGGACTGTATGACATGGGTGCCAAAAAGTGGGACTTCCTGCGGGATCTGGTAAGAAAACTGACATGTTGTTACCTGTGGACTAACAAACAATGAAAAACCCTGAAATGATTATTACACTTTTTATTTTTAAAGGTGACCTATAATTCAAAATTGAATTTACCTTGGTATAGTCAAATAACAAGAGTTCAGTGCATGGACATGACATAGAGTGAATCTCAAACTGGACTGTTTTCGCGTTCTCATTTAATTCACGTTTATGAAAAACACCCCTGAAAAACGGTCGGTTCTCCACACAATACCGACTGTGACGCAATAGTCGGGATCATTAATATGTACGCCTCCAAATATTTGCATAATGCCAGCCCTCAATGCCAGGCGGAACTGCGCAGCCGAAGCATGGCAGTTGCTCAGTGTGGATGTACACATGAACACAAAAGTATTTTTTAGTTCCTTCATCTGAGCCTCTGAAGAAACAATGGGTTAATTTTATTTTCTCTGGAAATTTCCAAACATTTCACCGACTGTTTCCTCAACTCGGGCCAATACAGAGCTGGCCTCGGATCGAGCTACCAAGCAACACTTTCTGATGTGTAATTGTTCAAGTTCAGACAGGTAATCTTTCTCTCAAAATCGTTCAATACTGTTTATGCATCAGTAAGTCAAGACAGTGACTAAAATATCAGCTTCACATCGTTTCTTTTAGTAGGATGAAAATAATCGTATTTAAATTGTGAACAAATTATATACAGAAAGCGATCAAAGAAAAATCTTTCCACACAGCGCGAGTTTATCTGGACACTTGCCAAACTCGTTATGAAATCAATGACGCACGTTACTGCACAACGAAGCTCTTACTGTATTTACATCATCGTGTTTGCATTGGTGAAAGCAGAGAGAGTGCAGAAACTGCTTTGCAATGATAAGATCTTCATTCTCGCGATCAACACACTGTCATCTGCTCAATGCTCATCACGGCAACATTTTATGTGATGGGAATAGATCTAAATACTTTAAAAACATCTCACGATTCGTTAATCTCGATAGCTGTTATAGTAAAAACGTATGATAGCAGTAGTAAAAGTATTCGGGAGAGAGTTTCACATGTAATGCGTAGCTATTTCATATGCAAGCATGTCAGCCAATCACAGCAGTGGCCGCAGTTACACTGAATCCCACAGCAGACACGCCCCTTCAAACAGAGTGTTCAAATCAGAGGCTAAAAGCAGGCTAGGAAAAATGCCATTTATTTCTAAATTATGATTATTTTTTATCTAAAAAACATACTAACATTATAAGGGTAACCCAGGAAACATTATAAAATAATAAAAAAAAACATTCTAGGGCACCTTTAATATCTACACAAAAAAACATATTTTGTAAAAGTTAGCTGTAGGTTATCTTATTAATAAAATTAATGTATTCAAGTAAGCACCAATGGCTCAAAATGATGCATTTATATTAGTCATTCTGCTTTTGAAGTGGTGCCCTTTCGTCCTAGTGCTGATCAATTCAACAAGAGTTCATGTTGTTTTCTCAGGTAAACAGCTCTTGTAGTTGCCTTGATTGTTGTTAATGACGGAAAATGCAACATAACCTTTTCACTCCATGGTTAAGTAAGGAATAATTGACAACAGGCCACTGAATTATCATAAATTAATGCACAACTGAGGTGATAACGCACCCGCAACACAAAGCAAAATGTGCAGACCTCAGGTGTCTAATTTTCCGAAGTGGCCCTGCAATAATTTTCAATAATTCAACTGTCTGAACTCAATTATTTTGTTTATAACATTAATACATGTACTTAAGGTTATCTCAGGACTGTGCAGATCTACTTCCTTTCACTTCTGATTAAGCATCCTGTTTCTGCCCAACGTTTTAGCCACATACATCACCACATTTTTTTTTACTGTATTTCCTTTCAATTTTCACCCTGCTATTGCAGCACTTTCGATAGATATAAAAAAATGTTCAAAGAATAAAGGAAATTAGCTTTTCATTTTATATTTTCAATTTTAATTTTAGTAATTTGGTTATGTGGTTTTGTCACTTTTATTAGTTTGTGAGCGTTGTTTAAATATTTCTATTTAGCTTTCATTTATTTCAGTTTTAGTTTTAGCAGTATTACTATTAATTATAAAATACAATATTTATTTTATTTCAGTTCATTTTCAAAGCAACGTTTTTTAAAAAAAAAAACGCTTTTTTTTTTTTTTATCTAATATTTATATTTGTTAACACTTTGTTTTGATAGTCCATTCTAGACATTCTACTAATAATAAGTAAATTTGCAACTACATGTCAAATACCAGTCATTAGAGTATTAGTAGACTCTCTGCTTAATATCTGCAAAAGGTGGGGACACACCAAACCGACAGCCAACTTTGGTATATTGCCTACGTCAGGGCCTAGTTGCAAATTAATGAGAGTTAGTTGACATGTATAGTTGCAAATTGATGAAAGGTATTTGACATGTAGTTGTGAATTAATGAGAGGTAGTTAACATGTAGTTGCAAATTAATTAGGGGTAGTTGACATGTTGTTGCGGCTTAATTTAGATTAAAAAGTTTTTAAGACTTTAGTTTTAGTTAACAATAACAATGAAGTCATCATAACGGTTATTTAATTATAATACAATCATGTAAGGTTTTTATGACTTTGTGACATTGTTTTTGTCACAGGGTCATGTTGAAACTATCTTCGACTGCAAATTCAAGCCAGATGACCCAAACATTTTAGCTACAGCTTCATTTGATGGGACGATAAAAGTCTGGGATATAAACACCTTAACTGCTGTGTACACATCTCCGGGAAATGAGGGAGTGGTGTACTCTCTGTCCTGGGCCCCTGGTAAGAACGGTACACACTATTAGAACAGCCCATGTTACCGCTGCAGTTTCAGACAGGTTTTGTTTCTGTGTAACTCTTTCCTTCATTTCTATGTTTCACTGTAACCCAAAGGAGACTTGAACTGCATAGCAGGAGCTACGTCAAGAAATGGCGCCTTTATTTGGGATGTTAAAAAGGGAAAAATGATCACAAGATTTAATGAGGCAAGCATTATTATTTTTTTAAGGATACTAATTATTTAGAATTAATATCTCTAATTTATGAGATTTAAATAGTTATTGTTATTTTAATTTTGATTGCACAATCGTAATCATCATGAGTCTTTATTTTTTTACTGGAATTGTGTTGCAGCATGGGAAGAATGGTATTTTTTGTGTTGCTTGGAGTCATAAGGATTCCAAAAGAATAGCCACATGCAGTGGAGATGGATTTTGGTGAGTTCATTTTTAGTTTTGGCTAACATTCCCACAAGCCTTAGTCCATCCATGTAATGAAGCCATATTGTCCTCATATTCATAGACATGATATTGTTACTTTTTATTGTGTGTGATTTCAGCATAATTCGAACCATTGACGGCAAAGTGTTGCACAAATACAAACATCCAGCAGCAGTGTTTGGCTGTGACTGGAGTCAAAATAACAAGTATGTGATCAGTGTAATCAGATACACAAACAGATGACAGAACCTTTTTACCAGTATTATTTTCTCTTGCCATCACAATTATAATGAATGCATTCTCACTCTCTCTCTTTCACTATTGCAGAGATATGATTGCCACTGGCTGTGAAGACAAGAATGTTCGAGTCTATTACTTGGCCACCAGTTCAGACCAGCCACTAAAAGTCTTTACAGGTCACACAGCCAAAGTATTCCATGTGCGTTGGTCACCTCTCAGAGAGGGCATACTGTGCAGTGGCTCAGATGATGGGTAATCATTCAATTCAAATCTCCATTTACACTCTTAACTACCGCTTTGTATAGGGCCAGTAAGATTTTTTTTTTTTGAAAGAAATTAACACTTTTATTCAGCAACTGTAACCGGTGGCTTGCGATGCCAAGCGTGATGCGTAAGGACACATTCAATTTATCGAAAGTGATTGTAAATATTAAGCAGCACAACCATTTTCAACCATTATTACTTGAGCACCACCAGCATATTAGAATGATTTCTGAAGGATCATGTGACACTAAAGAGTGGAATAATGGCTGCTGAAAATTCAACTTTGGCATTACAGGAAGGCTTCTTTCATTTCAAACATTAAAAAAATCTTACTGACCCCAAACAGGAGTATACATGTTTTACTAGCATTACAAATGATCATTCTCAAATTTACCTTGGGACTTTTTTTTGTGGACTTAATTATAAAAACTTGAATAATGAATTGAAAAAAAACGAATAGAATAACTAAATACAATTATAATGAACATAGTATAACTAAAAGAATCATTGAATCAATAAAGAATCATCATAGCTTTTATTTACAGATTTTGTAAAGTAAAAAAAAAAGGTATTATGTTTTCTTTATGTGCCTTATTGTTGGTAAACTTTAGTGCTAATGAAAATATCTCACTGTTTACTTTAAAGGTGCAATAAATTGTATATAATTATTAGCCTATAAACTCACCCTAATGGGAGCCTCTGTGTTGAGATCACATGATCATCCAATTTATATCATCTTGTTCTTAGAAACTTTCACTTGCAGAATAAATAAATCATGGCTGACAGTGAATAGGGCATTTCTACTATGGCACTACTAACTGTGAATTTGTGCATGAATTTGTCTGAACGTGTCAGTGCCCAAAACAACATAAATATGACTGAGTGCACCTTTAACTTCATAAACGGATGTGTATATGTGTGTATGTTGACTAGGACTGTCCGTATCTGGGATTATACCCAAGATGCTTGCATTAACGTGCTGAGTGGCCACACTGCTCCAGTTCGGGGTCTCATGTGGAACACAGAGGTGCCGTACCTTTTGACCTCAGGGAGCTGGGACTACACCATCCGTGTCTGGGACACCAGAGATGGCACCTGTCTAGACACTGTATATGACCATGGAGCTGATGTCTATGGTAGTGTATTAAATGTATATGCTGCAGACAAAATGATGCTGTCATCCTTTCTGCACTTTTTTTCAAAGAAATGGCTTATTTAATTGATACATTTTATACATTGTTATTTCTAGATACAGTTAAATGATTTAAGTTCTGTAAATGAAGGCAGGAAAAGCAGAACACTGCACAGTTAAGAGACCTAAATATGTAATGGGAACACTTATTTTTGTCCAAGGACTGTCTTTTAGTAAAATGTATCATACAGTAGTAGGGACATCATTTTGTGTCATTCCATACATACATTATTTATGCAGCCTTGTCAATCATATGAAATCCCCCAGGTCTAACATGTCACCCCAGCCGTCCATTTACCATGGCTTCCTGCTCCAGAGATTCCACGGTCAGACTTTGGTCACTCACTCCTCTAATTGCTCCCTTAGTGGTCAACATCCTTACTGACCACAGCTGGGATGACATCATTGGCAGCACAGGTTAAAACACAAGCACATATTATATACTGTTTGCATGGATTGGTTTTGTAAAGAAATTAAACCACATGTATTTCTTGAGAGTAGATCGCGCTATGGTTCCTGGAGCCCATCCCCTCCTGTGTGGAAAAGTGTCCAGAGATATTAAACAGGAGCTGGATAAACTCTCTAGCGACGTGCGCATGAAGAAGCTCAGATGGTTCTCTGAGTGTTTCTCAGTAAGTAAATCTCAACACAGAACTCTCACAGGAGTTTATTTAGAAGTCTAAATAAGGGGTTATGTACTCTGTCTTTGTAGCCACCTGGAGGGAGTCATAACCTGTGGGATCTGGTTGCTGTAATCAACGGACAGGATGATAGTCTTCTTCCACAGAACTATGGGCAGGGCATCATGCATATGAAACACCTGGTTCGCTTCAAAACCGTGAGTGAATAAACTGTGATGTAACGTTCTAATAGTGGCTTTTGATGCATATTAAGTTTTCAATACTTGTACTGGAGTTTTTATCTACTTTTTAAAAATTATTTTACCATGTGTCCCTTCCCTGTAGTCTGAAGCACAAGAGCTGACCATAGTAAAGATGTCAAAGTTTGGGGGTGGTATTGGAGCCCCTAGTAAAGAGGAAAGGCTCAAGAATGCAGCAGAAATACATATCAGACTGGGACAAATCCAAAGATATTGTGAGCTTATGGTGGAACTGGGAGAGGTAAAATCTATAAGATTTTTTAAAAAAAATTGTAATGTCATTTTCTGAAATGTTTTATATATACACTCACCTAAAGGATTATTATGAACACCATACTAATACTGTGTTTGACCCCCTTTCGCCTTCAGAACTGCCTTAATTCTACGTGGCATTGATTCAACAAGGTGCTGAAAGCATTCTTTAGAAATGTTGGCCCATATTGATAGGATAGCATCTTGCAGTTGATGGAGATTTGTGGGGTGCACATCCAGGGCACGAAACTCCCGTTCCACCACATCCCTAAGATGCTCTATTGGGTTGAGATCTGGTGACTGTGGGGGCCATTTTAGTACAGTGAACTCATTGTCATGTTCAAGAAACCAATTTGAAATGATTCGAACTTTGTGACATGGTGCATTATCCTGCTGGAAGTAGCCATCAGAGGATGGGTACATGGTGGCCATAAAGGGATGGACATGGTCAGAAACAATGCTTAGGTAGGCCGTGGCATTTAAACAACTTGTTACCACTGTGCAGGCTGGTGGTGGTGGTGTAATGGTGTGGGGGATGTTTTCTTGGCACACTTTAGGCCCCTTAGTGCCAATTGGGCATTGTTTAAATGCCACGGCCTACCTGAGCATTGTTTCTGACCATGTCCATCCCTTTATGGCCACCATATACCCATCCTCTGATGGCTACTTCCAGCTGGATAATGCACCATGTCACAAAGCTCGAATCATTTCAATTTGGTTTATTGAACATGACAATGAGTTCACTGTACTAAAATGGCCCCCACAGTCACCAGATCTCAACCCAATAGAGCATCTTTGGGATGTGGTGGAACGGGAGCTTCGTGCCCTGGATGTGCATCCCACAAATCTCCATCAACTGCAAGATGGTATCCTATCAATATGGGCCAACATTTCTAAAGAATGCTTTCAGCACCTTGTTGAATCAATGCCACATAGAATTAAGGCAGTTCTGAAGGCGAAAGGGGGTCAAACACAGTATTAGTATGGTGTTCATAATAATCCTTTAGGTGAGTGTGTATATATATATATATATATATATATATATATATATTTAATTTCTTGGATTGTCAATATATATTTTAAAATGTTTTTTATAATAATTAGTCAATGACATATGCTGATTAAGTAATCTAATTAATCACATATCAATATTTGCTGATAGGAGTTTAAAGGAATAGTTCAACCAAAAATTAAAATTATCCCATAATTTACTCACCCTCAAGCCATCCTAGTTGTATATGACTTTCTCCTTTCAACCGAACACAATCGGAGTTATAATAAATAATATACTGGCTCTTCCCAGCTTTGTAATGGCATTGAATAGAGGTTTTTGAAGCTCCAAAAAGTGCATACATTCATCATAAAAGTAATCCATATGACTCCAGTGGGTTAATAAATGGCTTCTGAAGTGAAGTTTTTGTAAGAAAAATATCCATATAGAAACTATAATCACTGGTTTCTGGCAACGGCCATACACGCGTTCACAAGAGAGTCGAGTTCCAGCAGAGGGGTGACCTCTGACCCAATGTATGACGTAGCTCCTCTTCTTTTATATCGAAATCCTCTTACATTTTTCTTTTAAACTTCCAGTTTTAGACTTCTAATTCGTGACCAGCATTTTGTTTTGCTCTATCCTCTGCGCTTCCGCGTTCATCAATTCTCACCTATGGTCACTCTTCCGCCGGAACTCGACTCTTTTGTGAACACGTGTATGGCCGTTGCCGGAAGTCAGTGATTATAGTTTATACAATTTTAAATGGGAATATTTTTGCAAAATATCTTGCAAAAACCCACCGCTTCGCTTCAGAAGGCATTTATTAAGCCACTGGAGTCATAGGGATTACTTTTATGATGGATGGATTAGCTTTTTAGAGCTTTTTATTTAATTATAAAGCTTTTTGCTTTGAAATTATTAAGGCGGTCAATTTACCATGTTACTTTAGTGTGATTAATTAATTATAATGTTAAAAGGTTCAGTAAGCACTTTTAATGTTTTTGAAAGAAGTATCTCATGCTCACCAAGGCTGCATTTATTTGAACAAAAATACAGTAAAAACAATATTGTTGTAAAATATTATTCATATTTAAAATAAACAGAATTTTCTGTACCTATTTCTCCAGTATTCAGTCACATGATCCTTTAGAAATCATTATAATGCTGATTTGGTGCTCAAGATAAATGTCTCATTATTATCAATGTTGAAATAACATTTCGACAGTTGTGCTGTTTAAATAAATAGTGATACAATATATTCAGGATTCTTTGATGAATAAAAAAACCCTTCATTTATTTGAAATGTAAATCATCATAAATGTCATTACTGTTACTTTTGATCAATTTAATGCATCCTTGCTGAATAAAATTATTGATTTCTTTAAAAAAAAAAACATCATATACAGTATGAGAAAATAGAAGGTTCGTCTTTTTTCTTTCAGAAATGTAATTTTCTAATGATTGTGTATGTTTATGTTGTTTTGTTTTGTGTGTTTAGTGGGAGAAGGCTCTTTCTGTGGCCCCTGGTGTCTCCATGAAATACTGGAAAAAGCTCATGCAAAGGTATCTCATATACTGCTCTGCATTTGTAAATCCGATGTTGTGAGTTTTTCACCATTTATTAACTGCTCAATGTAGGAGAGCAGACCAGCTCATGCAAGAAGGCAATGATGATGTCATCCCATACTGCATCGCCACTGGTGAGGTGAAAAAGCTAGTGAATTTCTTCACCTCTAGAGGTCAGCTGAAGGAAGCTGTGCTGGTGGCTCAGGTACAGGGCACTGTTATCTTTTTACCCATTTAGAGAGTTGTTGTAAGACTGTGAACCTCTGTGTTGAGTTTCATAATAAATGAGACTATGGGCCAGATTTAATAAACAGGGCAAATTAGCGCCGATAAGAGCTTCCAAAAAGAATTGATGGGAGTGGAGAGTTCTGCGTGTGACCTACTGACGACGTGCAAATTAAAGAACACAGACAAAGCCGGATCATTTCCATAATGACCAACGCAATCTACCAGGAGCAGCGCAAATTATCATCTGGTTTAAGACATGTTTTTTTATGTGGTAAATAATTGGGCCAATACGAGTAAATAGACTAGCGCAAACCTTAGTAAATCACCCTGCATGATTCATTTAAAGTGAATAATTTAAGGTCAGCTGCAAAAATAACTCTGTCCACGCTATTTCAGCGCTAATTTTTCACTGTGTCCTAAGTAAATCCTGACAGTAGTTTAACGCCAAAAGAGGGTTTGCATTGGCGCAATCTGTTAGTAAATCTGGCCCTATAGCCTATATTATAAATGAGAATGCACTTTGTTTTATCAGGGTGCTTGTGAAGGCAATATCCATGGCCCTCAGATCACATCTATAAACCATGCCGCAAACTCAGACAATGACAACATAGAAAAATACTGCGGGTAAGTTATACTTAGTTTAAGCCGAAATCAAGTGTTTCACCTCTCTTTTTCTTACCCACTCTCCCCTCCTCTGTCTAGGATGTTGCACAGAGTATGTAAAGAGCTGGCTGAGTGGTATTTCCAAGATGGCCGTGCTGTGTTGGCAGCTTGCTGTCATCTAGCTGTAGACAACACAGAAGTAAGCTCACAATAATGAGCGATATGATTGAACACCAATAGCAACATTTAAAATCAGACTAACCACTAACAATATCATGTCAATGTTTAGACAATAAATAACACGATAAAGCCCAATTGTAGGACAATTTAATATAAATTATTATTTTTATTATTTTCAAGACAGTTGCTCTGCTTTTTAAAAGTTTTGGGTCAGTAATTTTGTGAAATATAATCTATTTTAATATATTTTAAAATGTAATTTATTTCTGTGATGGCAAAGCATCATTACTCCAGTCAGTCACATGATCCTTTACAAAGGATTCTAATATGCTGATTTGCTACTCAATAAACATTTCCTATTATTGTCAATGTTGGAAACGGTTGTGCTGCTCAATATTTTTGTGATACATTTTTTCTAGGATTCTTTGATGAATAGCAAGTTCAGAAGAAAAGCGTTTTTTTTTATATATATTTTCATTGTAACCATGTAAAAGTATTTGTCACTTTTGATCAGTTTGGTGTGTCCTGGCTACATAAAAGAAATAAAAAATAAAAAGTCATTACTGACCCCAAACTTTTGAATGTTAGTGCATATGTCAGACAGTATAAATTAAAGGTAGTACAAAAACGACTACCGTGAGGTATAAATACTTGTTTGCCTTTATAGTAATGAGACCTGAATGATGTTTAATTGTCATAAAAATGTCACAATGCAAAACATCTTAATGATTCTTAAAATATGCTTGATTTGTTTAGAGTATTTTATATAAGTCTTGTTAGGCTAGTGATGTATGATGTTCTATGAGTGTTTAGATAAGGAGTTTTTATCTTCTTGTGTCAGCTGGCTATGGCATCTCTGATCAGAGGCAATGAGCTGGAGCTGGCAGTGTGTGTGGGCACAGTCCTGGGAGAATCAGCCTGTAAAGCCACCCACTACGTTCTGGAGCTCTTGGCCAGGAAATACATGACCACTGCCACCTGGTAAGCATACAACTGATCAATGCATCTTTGCATCTTTTCTTAAACACAAAAGGGAAAAATGGAAAAAAAGGGAAATTACCAAATATGTAACTTTGAATCACATTTCCTTTAAAATAGTTCGCACACTTTCCTGCAAATGCAACCCATCTCTTATCATCAGTCATGCACAGAAGTGTTAACATGATCCTGATAGTCATCCTTACTGCACACCTGTTACATTTTTCATTTCCATTTCTCTCTAGCTTTCCATCTGTGGCATACAGGTATTTTCTCTGCCTCCCTTTTCTGCCTCCCTGGTTCATATCCTTAATGCTTATTCATAACGTCTCGGGTTACTTCACTGTAACCCTGTTCCCAGAAAAAGCAGAACGAGATGCTGCACTGATCAGCGCATTGGGAACGTCTTTAACGTGACCAGCTGTGAATATGTGTGCAACACATCAATTAAATTGACCCGGAACTTTTATTGCCTCAGGCGGTGACGTAACCGGAGCGCGCACGCGCCGTGAGACTATAATAATAATAATAATTAGTTACATTTATATAGCGCTTTTTCTGGGACCTCAAAGCGCTTCACATATGGAAGGGGGGAATCTCCTCAACCACCACCAATGTGCAGCATCCACTTGGATGATGCGACGGCAGCCATATTGCGCCAGAACGCCCACCACACACCAGCTTATTGTTGGAGAGGAGACAGTGATGAAGCCAATTAGTATGATAGTATGGTATAAGTAGATGAGTCACAGCTGCATCGACAGGATATTTTGTCTGAAGAGCAGTCCTGGGACATCTTCAGCACGGCAATACAGCGCAGCATCTCGTTCCGCTTTTTCAGGGAACAGGGTTACAGTCAAGTAAACCGAGACGTTCCCTTTCAAAAGCTACAATCGATGCTGCGCTGATCAGCGCATTGGGGACAAGAATACCCAAGCCGCCGTGCTTGGAGGTGTCTGGACCCCTTACGGTTGTGTAGTGTGTGTTCACAAGAACGCAAGAAGGTCTAAGGCATGAGCTTGTGATGTCGACCCAAGGACGTGTGAGCCCGGAGTGGCATGAACATCCAAATTATAGAATCTTATGAATGTGTGTGGAGAGGACTAGCCTGCCGCATCACAAACATGCTGTAGGGGGGCACCCCCCGCCAAGGCTTGGGAAGAAGTGACCCCCCTAGTAGAATGAGTCCTGATGCCTACTGGCGAAGCTTGACTGCGCGCCTCATAGGCAAGGGCAATAGCATCTCTCACCCAATGTGAAATTGTCTGTTTTGTGGCGGCCGCCTCTGTTACGGTCTCCATGACAAACAAATAGATGCTCTGACTTACACCACTAGCTAGTGTGGTGGACGTAGGTCTGAAGAGCATGGACTGGACACAGTCTGTGAAGTCTCTCCTGACCCGGCGTTGTGAATGGCGGAGGGCAGAAGGCCTCAAGAGTGACCTGATATACGGTCGAGAAGGGGACCATAGGGTAGTCAGGATGAGGATGCAAGATTATTTTAAAAGCAGTGATAGCCATAAGAAAAACCATCTTAAAAGTCAGAAGTTTATCAGACGATAACCCTAGAGGTTCAAAAGGGGGTCTCAACCAGACCCTCCAGGACTATAGCTAAGTCCCATGAAGGGATCTTGGTTTTAACAGGAGGCCTAAGCCTCCACAAACAAAGCGGGCAAACAGAGGATGTTTCTAAAGTGGCACCCCGTCAATCAAGGCGTGGGAAGTCGATAAAGCGGCCACATAAACCCTGAGAGTGGTGGAGCATGTGCCTGCTGATAATTTTTCTTTGCAGGAAGTCCAGAACTGAAGCTATCTGGCAGTTAACTAGATCTGCATTACGTGCAGTGCACCACCTTTCAAAGACACCCCATTTATTGGCATAACATCCTCTAGTGGAGGGAGCCCTAGCACTGAGAATGGTCTCTATGATTTCAGCTGAAAAACCAGTGTCCCTCAGTTGGTACCCTTCCGGGGGCCAAGCATGAAGGTTCTACATCTTGGGCTGGGGATATTGTCCCCTGCGTTTGAGACTGAAGGTCCCTCCTGTTCGGTATCGCCCAGTGCGAGCCGTCGAGGAGAGATATTATTCACAATAACCAAACTCTGTTCAGCCAACAAGATGCTATCAGTAAGAGGCAAGGACCCTTGATGACAAACCTTGGCCAGGACTCCCACTAGAACATGGTAGCCCTTTAACTGCTGGAGGAAGTACTTCAGGGCCAGAAATACAGCCATCAATTTGAGGCAATTGATATACCAATCGAGATGATGCCTCCCCAGATCCCTCTGGGCGGGAGAGAAAACGCTCTTCTTCGCGTTGCATCTCAGCCCCAGAGAGAGAAGATGAGCGGGGATCGATCTCGATGTCGAAGCGCAAGCTCTTGAGACTGGGCCAGTATCGGCCAATCGTCTATGTAACATGGTTAGGTCGAATGGGGGGACCCGATATTGTTAAGCTTCGCCCCCAAAAGCAAACCTCTGGAACTTCCTGTGTTGTGGCAATATTACTATGTGAAAATATGCATCTTTAAGATCGACCGTGAAGAACCAATCACGATGTTGAATTTGCAACACGATCTTCTTGATAGTTAGCATCTTGCACTTGAGCATTCTGACGGAACGGTTCAAGCCTCAAAGATCTAAAAACGGACGCAGTCCCCCATTTTTCCCTGTTACCGCAGATGCAGCTACTCCTGTTTCACGGTAGTGGGAACCACGCCGTTAAAACGAGGAGGGCAACTTATTCCTTTTTACTGTCTTTAGGACAGTACTACTAAGAGATACCCGGCAGTAGCTTTCACGCTGCCAAAGTCTCTTTAAAGGGGTACCAATTTTAATACTTCCTGTTGGGTAATGTTAAATGTTAAATGCGGGGATGTTACAGTGGTTTCGTGAGGGTGTCAGGTAGGAGCTGATTGATGTATTTTACATGCCCTGTCCCGAAGGGGCACACCCCCACAGACCTGGGACAAAAAAAAGCTTTTTTGTCTCAGGTCTATTATGAGGCTTGCTGAGCGTGACGAGCCGGTCACGTCTTTACGAGGGGGAGCGCAACTCGCCACACTCTGCTTTTGAGCCCCCCTTTTTTGTTTTTGTTTTTTAAGCAGATCAGCCTTGTATACCTGCAACACTGCCATAGTGTGCAGAGCAGCACCAGTCTGACCCCCACCAGCGTGGATGCTATTATACACGACTTGGTGGGGAGTGCTGACTCCTTAAATGACGATGAGCCCCAAAGAAGAGATAGCCCGCGAGCGTCTCTTCAGACTGACGCATCATCGTATAACCACAAGCCCCTGCACCCACGATAGTCTAATAAGTTGACGTCGAGGGCACAAAGACTGAGGTTTTCCCCATGAACGAGTTTACGTCATGGAGATCCTCAAGGAGGGCAGTCTAGCTTTAATCTGGCCACGGCACGAGTCACCACCTCGAGTAACCTCTCACATGCTTTATCATAACGAGAGAAGTGCTCAGAGGCGGCACTCTCAAAATCCATCATTCTTATTTTATTTTATTTTATATTTTTTTATATTTAATTCCTCAGAATTAAATGTGGCCAAAGAACAGCCAGACAATATATTACTACAAGCATTATTTATCATATCATCTCATGCTAACCCTAACCGTAACCCTAATTCCATCCATCCATCCATCTTCTGCTTATCCGGGGCCGGGTCGCAGGGGCAGCAGTCTAAGCAGAGATGCCCAGACTTCCCTCTCCCTAGACACTTCCTCCAGCTCTTCCGGGGGGACACCGAGGCGTTCCCAGGCCAGCCGGGAGACATAGTCCCTCCAGTGTGTCCTAGGTCTTCTCCGGGGTCTCCTCCCAGTGGGACGTGCCTGGAACACTTTCCCGGGAAGGCGTCCAGGAGGCATCCGGAACAGACGCCCAAGCATCCTCAGCTGACCCCTCTCGATGTGGAGGAGCAGCGGCTCTACACTGAGCTCCTCCCGAGTGACCGAGCTTCTCAACCTATCTCTAAGGGATAGCCCAGCCACCCTGCGGAGAAAGCTTATTTCGGCCGCCTGTATCCGGGATCTTGTCCTTTCGGTCATGACCCAAAGCTCATGACCATAGGTGAGAGTAGGGACGTAGATTGACCGGTAAATCGAGAGCTCCGCCTTGCGGCCCAGCTCCTTCTTCACCACGACAGGCCGGTACATCGACCGCATTACTGCAGAAGCTGCACCAATCCGTCTGTCAATCTCCCGTTCCATCCTTCCCTAACTCGTGAACAAAACCCCAAGATACTTAAACTCCTCCACTTGAGGCAGGAACTCTACACCAACCTGAAGTGGGCAAACCACCCTTTTCCGACTGAGGACCCCCACCAGCATGAATAAATACAGCCAAATATCAATCAGACAAGCAAACATGGTCTTGATGACCGGCTGTGTTTAAATGTTTCATAATATCAGCCTGGTATGGTATGCCTGTAACACAGCCATGGTGTGCAGCGCAGTACCAGCCTGACCCGCTGCTGAAAATGCATCTGATAATGCAATCCCAGGGGAGAGATAGCTTGCGAGCGTCTCTCCAATCTGAGGCAGCATCATATAATCGCGTGTCTTCGCACCCGCATTAGTCGAATGGGTCGACGTCGAGAGCACAAAGACATGCAATGTATGTTATATATTTATAAACTTTGAGTGTTTTATGGGACTCTTTTTGCTGTGATCAGTGTAATCTGGCCACTGCATGAGTGATCACCCCGAGCAGTTCTCCTTTTATCATCACGAGAGGAACGCTCGGAGGCGGCGAACCACGAGATTCAGTGTCCTCTGCCCGAGCCAAAGAAGCGCCGAGGCACGCTTCGGTAGTCAGGCAAAAGGACATCGCGATCTGGAGAGAGAGCGAGCGATAGGGACGCACCCGTCTCTTGCTCCTCAGCCAGATCGACACGCGAGCCCCACAATCGCATTGTGGGTGCTACCCCTTTGAAATAAGCGAACGCGAAGCAATTTAACTGTGAACATCCCACAGTGCTCGCAATCACCATGCTCAAACGCAAGGGCAGCATGCTCTTTCCCCAAACAAACAAAACAGCATTGGTGTGTGTCTGATTCATCCATAGGACGTGAACATGGAGGCACACACCATTTGTTTTGTAAATCACTGTTTTTTTTGTTGTTGTTTGTTTTTCTCTTTTTCTTTCACTTGTCAGACAGTGACTACGTTTTCATGCAGCCAATAACCCGTTCAAAACCGGGATATTTGCAATAACCCGGTCACGCACGGCTATGTAAACACCGGCAAAAACCCGAATATGCTCATATCCCGGATTTTAAAAACCGGGATATTATACCTGGGGTACCCCTTTTCTAACCCGAATTTTTGGTCATGTAAACGTGTATCGGCATATCCCCATCAAAAGGACATAACCCGAATATTGGCTGCATGTAAACGTAGTCAGTGTAGAGCAGTGGTTTTCAATCTTGGTCCTGGGGAGCCACTGCTCTGCACATTTTATATGTCTCCTTTATCTGACACACCCACTTCAGTTAATAAAGCTCTTTCCTAACGAGCTGATGATCTGAATCAGGTGTGTTAAATGAGGGAGACATACAAACTGTGCAGAGCTGTGGCTCCCCAGGACTAGGTTTGAGAACCACTAGTGTAGAGGAAAAAGAGAGAGATTTTTCTGCGCACTGCCTAGCAAAAACCAACTCTTATCAGAGGAAACAGAGAGCTTTTGAGATCTTGAGAAGCACACACATCACAGTATGGTCTGAAGACAAAAGACCTGTCGATGCAGCTGTGGCTCATCTATTTAGCCTTGCGTCACCGCCCGAGGCTATAAAAGTTCCGGGTCAATTTCATTGACGTGTTGCACACATTCACAGCTGGTCACGTTAAAGACGTTCCCAATGCGCTGATCAGCGCAGCATCAATTGTAGCTTTTGAAAGGGAACAGATTATCTCTTTAATACTATAAATCATGACTGCGAGCCCCCTTCAGGATTTCATCTGTTGACATTTTCAAATGCATTCAGTCAACTTTAACTACCCATGTTAATATAACTAAGGTGATCATTGACGTACAGTATTCTTAGGTGCCACATTCAAAAATTTAACTTGTCCTCATTTACTCACTCTCATTTTTGTCAAACCTTTTTTTCTTCTTTGGAACTGATTTTCCATTCAAAAATGTTAAAAAGTGAAAAAAGACTGCAAAGCATTAAAAGGGATACAAAATGTATTTTTGTGATGGCAAAAATGAATTTTCACCAGTCTTCAGTGTAAATGTGATCCCTCAGAAATCATTTTAATATGCTGATTTAGTGCTCAAATAACATTTCTTATTATCACAGTTGAAAAACCATTGTGCTGCCTAATATTTTTGGGGAAACCGTGATACTTTTTTTTTTTTTTTTTTTTACAATTATTTGATGCTGTTCAAAAGCATTTTTTAAATATATATTTTTTTGAAACAATGTAAAATTCTTTACTGTTAAGATGCCTTTTGATTGTTGCATTTAAAACATCCTTGCTGAATAAAAATATTAGTTTCTTTCAAATATATAAAATATAAATATATGATATATATATATATATGTATGTATGTATATCAAAAACTCACTTTTTGTTTTCAACAGAACAAATAAAATATTTATCCACTTTTCCCATTACTTAACTCATGCTGCATTGGGTCTTCTACTCTCCAGGGATCTTGCAGCCAGATTACTTCAGATGATCCCTGATAACGAGATCTTGTTAGCCAAACTGTGTGCCTTCTACCCTGGCAGCTCAGCCGAAATCAACGACCTGCACGACAAGGTGACTACCTCATTCATATGTCTCAATGCTGCATATTTATACCGGACTAATTAGTCTTAAATCGATTAAAATGTTATAAGTTCCCATTAATTTGAGAAGGAATTGTGGCCATTTGCTCAACAACATTCAACAATCTAATGAAAAATAATTATCATATTGAGTGTGAAGGTCCAAACAAGAACATAATAGTGTTTATTATTTGACGTGAATATGGTATTTTTCTGCACAGGGAGAAATGCATTTATTTATTTATTTGTTTATTTTTCTAAGTTCAATCATTATTACTATTTTATTTTTCCCAGTGTGGTCTACCGACTTTAGAAGAATGTAAAGAGCTTGCTGAGAATACACATGCTGAGGGAGAAATCTTCCAAGCAGTAAAGTATTACCTCCTGAGCACAGAACCAGAAAAGGCTCTTCCCATCGGGATCACATTTGTCAAAGGTGAGTGTCTGAGAGACTCGGTTCATGTCTCAAAGCAGTGCCATTTCCAGCATGCCCACATTCTGCAGACAATGCATATATAGGCCTACTTCCATTTTCTCAAGCAAACTTTTAAATGTTGATTGAACGATTAAATGTAGAAAAAGTTGACTCACTAATGATGCACTTGAATAATTTGTGTTTTTTTGTCAAAGTATGGGAACTTTATATTTTGTTGTAAAAGTGTTATTTCTAGTCACCATTAGAGTGATTAGCGTTTTCTTCTGTGAAGTTTTTTCCATTTCAGTGAGTGTATACAATTTGTTTTGATGTATAGAAGTGACTATATAAACAATATATATGTTACTATATATAGACTCTGTTTGCTAAACAAACTGAAACACAAGTTAGACAAACTAACAAAGTTCAACATAAATGTTATGTAATGTTTATGCTACTTTTAACTTAAAATGCAAGCTTATCGAACTTGAATCCACAAGCAACATTATTTGTTTTGACTTTATAGAATATAATTCAATTGTTTGCTGAAAACAAAGACCAATTTTAATTGTTAAGCTGATACAAGTATATTCAGAAAAAATCCACAAGACTTAATCATTCAAAGGCATAATTGTTGCCTTGAAGAATTAAAAGGGACCTATTGTTTGGGGTCTACTAGACTAGGTTTTCATGCTTGAATGTTCATAAAACACATTATTTTTCACATATTTTACAGTGTTGCAGCACCTCTCCTCCCAATCTGTCAGTAACGCTCTGGAGTGCGTTTCCCGTACAATGACGTAACTCGCTGCTTCACTACCATAGTACAATGCATCGTTGAAGAAATCAACTAGCTAATCACGACTGTTTCCCGAAACCGTATTGTCGCAAATTGGTCGGTCAACCACGTTGGTTAATGATGTCACACAGGTGGTCGAGTAATAACTACTTTTAATGAATTTGTTTGAGATCGAATTAATGCTAGATGTTTTGCTATAAATTACAGACATGTCATCTGAGGACTATCTCATATTTTTCTCAGTTATTTGCTTTATTTTGATTCAATCATAGGCTCATTCTTACGTTGTAGAGCACATTCCCACATGTGCACTCTTCAAAAACGGTGCTTTAAATCTATTGACAAACTAAAAGATGTAAAGGACATTTGTCTTCTAAATAAAAGATACTGATTGTACTGAATGTCAGATTGTACAGTACTTGCTTATTTGGCTTAAGATAAGGATTTATTAAGTCCACATGTTATAAAAACAAGAAACTATGCTTCTAACCACAGGTCGAGAGCTGTCGTTCCAACCACACAGCTTTGCGATGCTGTTTGCGAATGTTCATTGGAACGATGGTTTCGGGAAACACAGACTCGTTGAACTACGCTGATAACGACGGAACTTGCGAACATAGTTGGCTAACGATGCTTTTGGGAAACGAACCCCTCTTTAGTTACCATCTCTATGAAGCCCCTCCTTCTGAAAAGTGCAATGTGCTCTGATTGGTCAGCTGGTCAAGTGTGTTGTGATTGGTCAACCGCTTCCAGTTTCGGAAATGTCACGCCCCTTACCATAACTGCGAGTTTCAACACGCTACTAACGCAAATTAACCTGGCCTTGTCCCTTTATTACGTATATGCCTTGGGTGGGAATTATTTAAATGAGGGATATTGTGATGTGTACGTTCCCATAAGAAAACTCAAGGTGTTTCAGAGAGTTCAGAAACAGTGCATACTAATTTAGAGAAAAACTTTGTGCTTGCCTTTGGGCTTTCTAACTTTGCAGACCTTTTTTATGCTCAAACAACATTACACACTAAAGAAAGTTGAAAATGTGTGTGTGTGTGGGGGGGGGGGGGGGGGGGGGTCATAACAGGACGCCTTTAAATGTCTTAATTGGACCAACAATTACTTACTCTCTCTGCCCTCATAGAGCAGCTGAGCTCTCCTGACTGGGCGATGGACTCAGTGTTCCACATCCTAGACCTGCTGAGCTACATCAGAACAGACCATCTTATTCTTCCAAAGTGTAGTGAGTAAGTCAATTACCTTCCCTCAAAAACACCTGTCATTGATGTAATTTATTGTAGCTTGCATTCTATGTTCATCTCATTTTCTCTCTCTGTCTTTGGCTAGAGACCGCAATGAGTTGCTTATTCTCTGTGGGTATATTGGTGCACTATTAGCCATTGGGAGACAGTATTCAAGTATAGTGCCAGCACTGTATGAATATACAAGGTATGCTAACTGTGGGATTTATATCAAGTAACTCAGTTATTGGTGATCACAAGTAATGTCTCTCTTTCTCTCTCTCTCTCTCTCTCTCTCTCTCTCTCTCTCTCTCTCTCTCTCTCTCTCTCTCTCTCTCTCTCTCTCTCTCTCTCTCTCTCTCTCTCTCTCTCTCTCTCTCTCTCTCTATTATCCTCCATCAGTCAGCTGCTGAAGAGAAGAGAGGTGGCTGTACCACTGCAGATAGAGCAGTTGTCTGTAGAGTTGGAGGCCTGGAGAGCCTGCACACAATCCCTCAAGTCTGTACCACAATACGTTACTCTAATTCATAACAAACAACAGCTCTGTACCAAGACCTACTTAGACAGTATTTTAAAGCATCATAGGCTATTCCAAACAGTATGCAGCAAAATTATAAGATACCTTATTTTGAACAATTTCCAAGCCAGCATTGTATTTATACCTCATGAACAAGGCAATCCCAAAATGCACTGCAGTTAGGTTGCTACCTTAACCCTCTGGGGTCCAACGTGTTTTTGGGGTCCTTGAGATGTTTTGACATACTCTGACATTTGTGCTTTTTTCAGTTGCTTATAAACAAATTACTGGCAAATGTGTAATTACACTCTATTTAGCACAAACAGGGCTACCATAATATGTTATCAACATGTATGTACATGTTTGTATTTTTGAGAGAATATTGTTTATGCGTGGTTATTGAAAAAACTAAAAACTTAAAGTTTCTGAAATAAGGCCACAAAACACATACTAAATATGTGTCCACAAGACTTTTGACTAATGGATGTTGTCGCCTAGAGTTTTTTCTTCAAAATGATCTGAAAATCATCCTGCCTTATCATTCACATAAAACAATAGATTGGTTTAAATATAAAAATGACACTTTTTGTATGGAAAGGCAATATGCGCAGGGGTGTGACCTGCTGTGATTCACACCTGAGAAGACAATGGGCCCGCATAATGAGCGCATAATGGGGCTGCATACTAATGACCCTTTCATTCAGGTGTGTCACTGAGCCACAAGAATGCAATGACAATATATATATATATATATATATATAGGCCTATATAATACAAAATTGGTTCACAGTTCCAATTATTTATTTATTTTTCAAATTGTGCTTGCAAATTGTATAATATCAAATGTAAACATTTCTAGTAATTGTGCAGTTAATTCTCATACTGTTTTTACAGAAAGATTGGGAATATACCCCAAATGTGTCACTAATAAAACACAATACAAATAATTTAAAGAGGAGGCTTATATTGAGCTTTTAAGATTTACCTAAGATTTATTTATATGTAGCCTACATATATTTTTGCTATTTTAATAAAAAGGTTACAATTACAACAACAATTAAAATTAACTATATTTCAAATGTAATCTTTCTTTGTATACTAAAGTATACATTTTATCATACATATTTCACAGTTGCGGATTAATTAGTTTGAATATAGCCTGCAATCGAACAAACACTATAATAACATCTTAGCAAACAAGCTTATTTGATGTGGCAGTATTTTACAGTAAAACGACATCTTGTCTTTCATATGTAACATATCGTTTTTATGATTAGGAAATATAAATGTTAATTTGCAGTTTAATACGTTGCTTATACAAAAATATTTTATTTCAACATATTTCAGTCGATTTTTACTCATCTCAGTATTGGAATATAGTTAGGTAAAAGCTGTTCATTCATTCACACACAAAAATGCGATTCATATTCAAACAGTCTTTTTGTTTACAGACACTATTTCATATCGCGATTAGAACAAAGCACATGAAAATAAAGAATGTACCTATTCCTCAGCTGGATCCGTTGCTCCTCCAAATGAAACTACCTGCACTTCTGAGGTAATTTTTTCCAGGATTATTATTAAGATAGTAGTATTCCTCACAGCGTCGTAAATATGAGTCTCTTTCGGTGGGTTATCCAGCTGATGTGGGCGTGGATCGCCTCAGAGCATTTGTGTTTGAATAGAGCGCGCGCTCCGTGGGCGTGGTCAAATTAACTTTAATGACCTGAGACGAGAACGATTATCATCCCTCTCTTTTCGTACAGATTACATAAAATGAGAAAATTTGTTTTTTATATAAATTACTTCATTTAAAAGAAGACAATTCAGTCTTCATGCCTGTGTAGAGCGCGCGCTCCGTGGGCGTGGTCAAATTAACTTTAATGACCTGAGACGAGAACGATTATCATCCCTCTCTTTTCGTACAGATTACATAAAATGAGAAAATTTGTTTTTTATATAAATTACTTCATTTAAAAGAAGACAATTCAGTCTTCATGCCTGTGTGCCTGTATACCTGTTTGACTGAGTATTTGCAGAGTTACATTTTTCGGACGCGTTTCAGAATGGACTTCACTGACAGAGAGAACGCAGAACGCGCATCATGTTTATTTTTCTTTATTAGGCGAAAAGCACAACACTTTGTTTTTATTGTGAGGTTCCACAAAAAAAATACAATCTTAACAGGATCAAATGATGTACAACACTTATATGTAAGATCAAAATCAACAGAGTAATTTGAGTCTCTTTTGCACTGATAAGGAAAAAAGTGAGCTGGTATCACCGGCGAGACCGCCGACCCCAGAGTGTTAAGCCCAAAATAAACTTCAATTTTGAGGTAAACACTTAGCGTATGTGTACATCCGGACACATGGTCTATCAAAGTATACTTGATTTGAGAGCGTAAGCAGACACGGGTGGTTCACACATGCACACTAGACAGTTCCATCTCCAGTGTCTGTGCTATTTCTCGGAAGTTATGACCAGTAAAAATGTCTTTGTACCCTTAAATTCAGCATGAAATGACAATTCACTATCTATTTTCTAAATGCATGGTATTGGTCTTATTGTGAACGATTCCTCTGTGTATATGTTTCTTTCTTTCTTTCTTTCTTTCTTTCTTTCTTTCTTTCTTTCTTTCTTTCTTTCTTTTTCTTTCTTTCTTTCTTTCTTTTTTGACCCGTCATTTTTAATCAGTCATAACTAACTTCTAGTGATGAGGACAGACTGATGTACGCAGGACTTCTCCAATCATTGAGTCAGCTTAAACCCCGCCCCTGCAAGCTTGTATTCATGCTCCCATTTTTTAATGCAATGCCCACAAGTCCCTAAAAAAAGTCCCTGCCCTACATTTCTGACAATACTTTACAATCGGATGTACATTAAAATGGAATAAAAGATTTGTTGCCACTTCTGTATCAACACGACTTTAAACAAGAGTTGCGGGTATCTATTAAATGCCTCACACATTGACTTGTTAACAGGGTCCTTGTCTATTGTAGTTGTTCAGTCTCTACTTTTTTCTTTTTCCATAGTGAAACAACAGCCGGGACAGTAACTAATAAGTGCAAAAAAGATCAAAGCGCGTGTGTCTGTATTTGTTGGCCGCATACGTCATTAATGGTTACTTTACTGAAATGAGGCAGCCTCAAAGTCATAAAGAAATTACAACAATTTAATCTTAACAAGGAATAACAGTCAATTTTATAATGGTTACTTTTCTGAAATAGGACATTCTTGATGACATATGAGGCCGAGAAATGTAGCCTCCGGAGGACTCGGCCTTCAAAATGAGACACAGCTAAAGTTTGGGCTTTAGTAGGAAGCTGCCTATGTACTGTAGGCAGTAGACAACAAGACAGCCCACTAGGTTTTACAAAAGATCTAACATTTTTGCTGACAATTGAATATATTTGGAAAATAATCTATTGTTTGCACTCTCTCTATGCATACACAGAGCGGCAGATGACACCTCATACGCGCCACCATCTGAGGCCCAGAAAACGGAGTACAGTCAGCTGTTGAGTCGGATGAGAGAGGAGCCCATCAAGGGCCTAGAGGGTCCAGACTATGTCACTGGCTCCAACTTGCCCAGCCACTCTGACGTCCAGATTTCCTGCTTCACTGGCCTCAGGATACAGGTGGGTTTCTTGTGGGTAGACTTGCATTTTAGCACTATACCTTAAATGTCTTTGTGTACCTGCAGATAGAGCAGTTACATCTGCCTTTTTTTTGCCTGGCAGGGTCCAGCGTTCTTCCTGGAAGATGGCAAATCAGCCATTTCACTAAATGATGCCCTGATGTGGGCGAAAGTGAACCCTTTTTCTCCATTAGGGACGGGTATACGCCTCAACCCCTTCTGAGCACAAATACAACAAATGTTAGCAGTATTTTGCCTGGTCTGGCTATGTAATGTCAGCGTTTGGAAAGGCGACAACATTCCTGTTTTTTCTCAGAAAGTATATGTCATAAAACAGCAGAATGCCTAATTGTTCAAATCATTTTTTTTTTTTAAGTTTTGCCATTCCATGCTGTGCTTATTACATTCAGGATTGCAGTTCATATGCAAAGAATCACAGCAAAATGCTGCTGTCGTGATTATACAGTACACAAGGCCACAAGTAAGATGCACAGCACAAATGCAAGTCTGATATGTATACATGTCGACAAGAAATGCACAGACTGATGCACTACTATCATAGGCAAGCAAAGTAAGATGAAAATTAGAGCACCAGAACTACCTGTTAAATCTCTATAAAGGGAGATTTATGCTGGATACAGTAATGAATGTTACATATGAAGCAGGATATTTAATGCCTTTCTTCCTCATCCTAAATCACAAGCGGGGTCAGGTATTCGGGTTTAGGTGTTATGTCCAGGTCTTAGGGTTGTGGCCTATAGCTCAAAGATTGTAAATCTAGTTGGTTTAGTTGGCACTGTCAGTGGTATTATGGAGTATAAACAATTGCATTAAGCAGTCTGAATGTTTTGTAACTTTTATTTCAAGACTTGAGTACAGGGCATTCGTCTGTACGTTTCTGTTTGCGCATTTGATTTCATGAAAAGAGACGTTTTGCTGCTTTGACACTGAAACCGTTTTTCATGTCTGTTATATATGGACTGAATTTACTGACTACTGAATATACAGTACACCTTATTTTAGTAGAACCAAATAAGAGAATTAACAGTTTAAAACCTTACATTGTAACAATACTATTTACTGTAATGTTTCTTCATTTCCTTCAGTAACTATTATGAATGGTTTTACAGAGCAGTTCTGGGGCCAGAGGTGTAATATTTATGTTCATAAACTATGGCAACATTATTTACGAAGGGTTAATTGAAATTAAATCTTGCTGTTACATTCAAAATCTGTTTAGATGAACTTAGGCAATAAGTCTGAGAAAGTGCACATATGAAGTGAGGATGTAAGACATTTATGCTGATATACACAGCTATACATTTGGAGTGTATTTCTGAAGTTAGGAAATAAAAGACAAAAAGTGTCATTTGTATTGCTAAAATCATCAGTTGCAATGGTTGTCATGCATAGCTGAGTATACAAAATGGAATGTAAGTTTTATGTTGAAAAAAAAAACATACAGAGACCATTTTCATCAAATGTGAAATGCACTGTGAAATGTATTTATTTGTATATAGTTTTGTTGTAGAATTTACGTCTAAATCCAAGTTTAAATGGGTGTATATAACATATTCATATGATCACTGTTCATACGCAACTGAGGACAGTTAAACAGGTATATATCGATCCTGGAGTTGAGTCATGCATCTGATTAAGCCAGGAGCTTTTCAAATTCTGCATGTTCCAAGTGTCTCATCTATTTATTTTGACTGATGATATCATAAAAGCGCAAGGCGAGATATATAAGAACAGGCAATTACTTTCTTTTTTGTGACTATGATTTGATAATTGCTATTAAAAAGATCAAGTGTACAGGAAATCTTATTATTCTATTTTTGCTTATGAGTATTGCACTACATTGAACATGATTCAAATACAGTACTAGTCTGCAATGCAAAGAAAAGGGAGACCAATGAGACAAATTTTAAATATTTTTCTTTATTTATAAGTTACATATCTTATCATGCTTTGTTTTGGCAACAAAATGATTAGCAAAAGTACTGCATTACACTGAATCTTCCAGCGGTTTTATTTTTTTATTTTCTAAACAGTTCATGATGCAGCTTGGGAAGCTGTGAAAATATTGATAGCATCAGATTTTGTGAATTCTGAACAGTTATCCTCTTCTTTTTTACATTAGTGTGATAATTGTTTTTTAATTCATTATACTGACATGCACTTTAATGATTTCACCCTGACATGATATATTTGTATCATATTAGGCATGCAGCTTATATAGTGCAGGTTACAAATGATAAATTTACACTAATGTTGTGATTATATAAAAATAGTTAACTGGTGTTCATTAGTTGCACAAAAATATAAGTATTTAAAAATAAACAATTGAACTTAAATTAAGTGAAATGAATGGCTATTGTAATAGTGTTTTCTGTGCGTTGGTGGTCAAACAAAATGTGATGACCTTATTTGTATATTAATGCACTTAATATAAGAAAATAAAAGGGGGAGGGGCTTTGTGGAGTAACGTTGAGAGTCTATCTGTATTGGAGGAAACTCTTGAGCAGAGAAGGCAGTTTGAGGTGAGGAATCAGGTGCAGTCTGGATCGGCCCATATAGTTTCGGATACTCAGTCTACACAGCTGACACAGAGACTGTGGCGTGGCTATCCAGGAAAAGACAGGGAAAGTTAGCAAAATCCCCTTTTTATAAAAAAAATAAATAAAAAACTTCTGACAACTTAGTATTTCATAAAGTATATGGACAAGGTGACCCATGTTCAAATCCTAGCCTAAATTAAAAACATATTTTTATTATTGTTCTCACCCATTTAACTCAATGTTTTCAGTTTTAATTATTTTCATCAAATGTGGTCTTAAATATGCAATGAACATATTATTGCAGAAATTAATTTAATTTAGTGGATTAAAACATACAGATGTAATCAAAATGATTCAACCCCCATTGCAAATCAGGTCTTTTGGCAAAATGTACAGACTTTCAGCTGTTTGCAATGAACAAATCAAACAAAAGTAATTGAAATAGCTCAACACAACAAATGTTTTTAGTGGTTTCCCCAAATTTAACTTAAAATGCAACTTTTAATGACTTCTGCAGTCTCAACATTTTTCAACCCCTTCATGGCAAGCATTTTTTGTACTTAGTAGAACACCATTTTGCTGTCATGTCATGCTGCAAACGAGATGTATAACCAGACACCAGCTTCTGGCAGCGTTTCTGAGGAATCTCAGCCTTGGGTCTCAGCCTTCTTGGGTCCTCCCACTCCTCCCTTCCATTAACGTACTATGATGATGCACCAGTTACAGGTGACGCATGGGTCTGCTCACTACCTCATTCAGCATAGAATGGACATCGTTCTATTACTTCATCAGTCAGTTTAAATAACAGGACTGCCCTTTGAGCCCTTTTATCACTTTAATCAGACAGGAATAAGCACTACTATCTTTTTATCGGCACTGTTTGTTGTTCACTTTACTTGCCATGTGTCTTGCGCTGTTTTCTTTTCTTTTTCTTTTATTATTTATTAGATAGTTGTATTTTATATTTTTATATCTGATCTAGATTTTTAGTTGATGTTATTTGTAAGCACCATGGGTCTGAGAGTAACGCAATTTCAATTATATGTATGTATGTACTGTACATGGGGTAGAACTGACAATAAAGCATACTTACTTACTTACTTACTTCCTCATGAGCAATGGCCTCCAGTTCAGTAATATTCTTGGGTTTGCATGCTGCATCCGCCGCCTTCAAATCTCACCAGAGATTTTCTATGGAGTTATGAAGTCAGGTGACTGTGATGGCCACTGTAGAATCTTCCAGGACTTCTTCTGCAACCAAGCCTTAGTGGAATTTGAGGTATGCTTGGGATCATAGTCCTGTTGGAAGGTCCGATGACGCCCAAGCTTCAGCTTCCTCACTGATGGCATGATGTTTTCTCCTAGGATTTCCTGATACTTCAATGAATCCATCTTGTCTTCCACACGCTGCAGGTCACACGCGGTTTAGTAGGCACCTCACTGTGCAAGCTGAAACCTCAGTGCCTGTTACCACCAAGTCTTGCTGCAGGTCTTTTGCAGTCACTCGAGGGTTTTTCTGAAACTGCCTTCCCAGAAATCTGGTTGCAGCAGTTGATGGCTTCCTTTTTCTGCCCCATCCAGGTAGTGGTAGTGGAACCACTGTTCCTTTAACTTTGAACTTGGAAACTATGCTTCCAACGTTGTCTCTAGGAACATTAAGTGCCTTGGCTATCTTTTTTATCCTGTTCCTTGTTCATGAAGTGCATATCTTCTCTTAACTTGACCATTTTGATGCATGTTATAAATATGGCTCTCAACAAACCTTGCCAGTTCAGATATGTCATGTGTTCTAGCACAAGCACACCTGGTGCAATTAATGAATCCCTTGATTAGTTTAATCAGGTGTACTTGAGACAACACCTGTTTTGCAGATTTGTGCTGTTGTGAGGGATTCTATTCAGGGGGTTGAATAATTTTGAGACTGCAGAAATCATTAAAAGTTGCATTTTCAGTTGAATTTGGGAGAACCACTTGAAACATTTGTTGTCTTGACCTATTTAAATTAATTTTGTTTGATTTGTTCATTGCAAACACCTGAAACTCTGTACATGTTGCCAATAAACCAATTTGGCCAAGCTTGCAATGGGGGTTAAATAATTTCAATTACAACTGTATAAGGTACGGAAGATAAAACTCAACTGAGCAGCCTTACCTTCATACAGAAGGAGCGCAGACTCTGCCGTACTGCTGGGTGGCGCTGTCTCCACCGGCCTTTGCAGCTCCAGGTTGCGAGCGTTGATGTTAGCGCCAAACTCTAGTAGCAGTCTGATGATATCTGGACAGTCCTTCTGTGCTGCAGCGTGTAGTGGAGTGTCCAGGAAACGGCCCTTCTGCACATTGGCTCCTATGAAAAACAGATCCTTTTTGTGATCAAATAAACAAGACCAGAACTAATGGTGAGAAGACCTGACCTAAGCACGCCAAAATACACCAAACAATTAAATTTTTTTGTTTGGTTTGAACAGTAGTCTGATGAGCTCACCTCCATCCAGAAGTTTCTGTGTACACTGGAGCTGTTGGGAGACACAGGCAATGTAGAGAGGTGTTCCTAGATGGGGGATGTCGTAATCTACATCTGCTCCCCACGAGATGAGAGACTCTAAACATGCTGCCCTACCTGAAACAACAGCACTTCTATGTTTATATTTTTGTAAAGTCTGCTATAAATGCTGTACATTCAAATCAATGGATTTTTATGGTTAGACTAAAGCAGAACTACTTGATTACCTTTGCTCGATGCCTCGTGAATGGGCGAAGGTTGGCAAGCTTCTGCCTGTGGTTTTGCTCCATGTTCCAAAAGCACCTCTGTACAGGTGAAACTTCCTGTCGAGCAGGCGTTAAACAGCGGGGTCACACCGTCAATGGTCGTGGCTTTTACCTGCCATGCACAAGAACATGCTAACAGCACAATCCGCACAAACTGATCAATCTGAGCAGAGTCTTCTACTAACCCTTTCATGCATGAATTATGACAACCTCTGTCAGGATTTTCTTTTCTTTTTTTTCCTAAGTGTTTTTATTGCTCTTAGGACATGGAAATTTTCCAAAGAAATTTTCAGATGTCCACTTGAGTGGACAGTTTGTGTTTTTAACTAAAGAGATACTGTATTAATCATAATAAAGTAATAACACAGTAATAACACAGTAATACTGTGTATTTAACAAACCAATGAATAAAATTATATAAAATCATGTGAAAACTATAAAATATTCCAAAAATATAGTAAAGCTTCAATTATTGGAAACGCAATTGAGTTTGTTCCCGTTCGACCAGCAGACGGAGAAGAACTTCATACAACTTGAACTATCTTTGTGTTCATCTAAACACTATCTTTAAGTGTCTTTGATATCAGAACATGAGGACGTGATCAAAGATCTCTACAACCAGAGAAGGTACAACTCTGTGGAAACCCAACTCAGACTACTACAGTTGTGGTCAGAATTATTTTCACCCCTGGTAAATATGATCAAATATGGCTGTAAAAGTAAATCCGCATTGTTTATCTGATCTTTCATTCAAATAATTTGCACAAAAATCTAACCTTTCATTGAAGTAAAATAATTGAAAGTGGGAGTGGGGGGGGGGGGGATCACATTATAAAATACATGTTTGTTTTTTTCTCCAAAACACGTTGGACACAATTATTGGCACCCCTAGAATTTTTTATGAGTAAAATATATCTGAAGTATCTCACACCAGGGTGACTAGGAACATGAAATTGTCTAGGTATGACTTCTTGTTTCACAGGAGTATAAATATGAGGAAATACAAAGGACAAATTCCCTTAATCATCCATCACAATGAGTAAAACCAAAGAATATAGTTATGATGTGCATCCAAAGATTGTTGACCATTACAAAATAGAAAGTGGCTGTGAGAAAATAGCCATCAGGGCAATAATTAAGAAGTTCCAATCAACTAAAGATGTTACGAATCTGCCAGGAAGAGGATGTGTGTCTATATTGTCTTAATGCACGGTGAGGAGGAAAGTTTGAGTAGCCAAAGACTCTCCAAGGATCACAGATGGAGAATTGCAGAGATTACTTTGGTTATCTTTGGTTGGTCAGAAAGCTTAAAAAACCCTACATCACCACCATGTTGTTTGGGAGGGTTTCAAGAAAAATCCAAAAACAAACTCCAGCATATTCAGTAGTCAGGCATGACTGGAACTTCAAAAGGGACCTGGTTCTATGGTCAGACGAAACAAAACAAAAAAAGAGCTTTTTGGCAGCAAACCCACCAGATGGGTTTGGTGCAAACAGGGATACAGAGTGCCCCATGCCTACGGTTAAATATACAGCTAGATTAATGTTGTGGGCCTATTTTTTTTGCTTGTTCAGATACATGTTCATGGATCATGGATTCTAGTAAATACCAACATATAAAAAAATGAAAATCTGAACGCCTCTGCTAGAAATCTTATAATGGGCCGTGGTTGGATCTTCCATCAGGACAACGATCCAAAACAGACATCAAAATCAACATAAAACTGTCACTAAGCACAAAATGAAGCTTCTGCCATGACCATCCCAGTCCCCTGACCTGGAGTGAACTGAAGGAGACGAAGCACCAACATGAACTTGTGAATCTGAAGGATCTGGAGAGATGCTGTATGGAGGAATGGTCTCTGATCTCTTGTCAGTTGTTCTCCAAACTCATCAGGCATTATAGGAGAAAACTCAGAGCTGTTATCTTGGCAAAAGGAGGTTGCAAAAAGTATTTAATAAAAGGGTAATGGCAATATGGCCAACTTGTTTTGAAGAAAAACATTTATTTCATAATGTGATTATCCACTTTCGATTATTTTACTTCAATAAAAGTTTAGTATTGTCACATTTATTTTTTTAATGGGTATCAATGGAGGAGAGGCTTCACTACGGTGAATAAACAGCTTTTGTGAGGAAATAGCTTATAATTTAATGAATCGACAGCCTGTTCACTAATCTTCAACATATTTTACACTAAACAATACTTTCGTTGGAAACTATATTTAGATTTTACCTTGATAAAAATTGTATTTAAAAAAAAAGGCTGAGTAAGGAATGTAGCGACAGGTAGGTCTCATTTACGGCATTTTACCAGCAAATGTGTAGTAGTTGTGTAATACTGAGTGATATTGTATATTGCCTAAAGAAAATAAACAATATCTATGTTTGTTTGTTTTTTTGGCTTTCACGGTTTATCAGTAATAATAAGACTTTAATTTTTTTTTTTTTTTAACAAGATTTACAGCCAAAAAAGTTACTGCAGATGAAGTATTTTCAAGTATTTTTTAAGTATTTATTTATTTATTTTTTACCTGCAAGAGTCTCCTAGGATAGAAGGAATGGATGGATATTCCAGAGCAACTTCCAGAGAATTTCTGACTGTCTGTCGGTCATCTTGGTTTGGAGAAAAAAATTCCACATACAACGGCTTGCCACAGGGTGGCAGTGTATAGGATGATGCACTAGTGTCCACTCTAGTGGTTGATGTGCAACTATGCCATCAAAACCCTTTATACGCAAGGAAGGGCTTTTTGAATAGCTGTCCACTGTAGTGACCATGCATGAAAGGGCTAAACATCTAATAAACCAAAAGCAGGAAAACATCTAAAAAAAAAAACAATTAGGGCAGGCCGGGGTTAGTTGTCACACAGGAAGTTATCACAGGGACTGTATCTCAGTAGTTATAGCCTATATGGTTAGGGGATAAAATATTAATTCCATACTTTTTATTTTAATAAGTGGTTCAATTGGTTCCAGATTTCTGGTTTAAAGTTTGTGAATTTTATCTTTCAAATAAATGATATTATTATCATACTTTTGCTATAGCTGTTGGGTAAACAAGCAAACACAATAAAACCACATTGGCAGACATTCAAGCAAGTATCAATTATATAATGAAGATACAATTGAGTAAAAGATTGAACTGTGTACTCAGGACAAGTGTATATTTCATAAATGTATAATCAGGGCAGCTGTGATTTTTACTGGGGCAAGTTGTCATGTGTTTTAAATGTTATACTTACTTTGTATAAATAAATAAATTATATATTATAATTACTTTGTTTCATAATTGTTGTAATGTTGCTGACAAGTCTTTAATATGCTGTTTAATAACTGTAACTCACATTGGCACCGGCCTCTATGAGAGCCCTGGCACATGCTACATGATCTCCCAGACAAGCTTCATGTAGCGGAGTCACGTGATCAATGGTGATGATATTTGGATTGTGACCCTGGTATTATGGAGAAGAAAAACAGGAATATATATATATTTTTTTCTTTAAAAAGTTACAAAATGTATCTCTTTTTAAAACAATTTCTGTTCCATTATTGTATGTGTATATGTTTGTAAACCTGTGAGAGAAGAGTCTTAAGAGCCAGGAGTCGACCCTGACATGCAGCTTCATGGAGTGGAGAACGATCCGCCCATGAACCTGAGACGGGAATGAACATACAGTATGTCAAAATATTCTTATTAATAAGCCAATGAACTGACACCCAATTATTTCCCATGACTAATAAATGCCCTTTCTTCTCAGAAAAACAAACTACAAAACAAGCCCAAACAATTTGGAATTAACAATTATCCAATGTTACATTAACATAATTTACAGCAACCATAATTTGCTGTAGTTAAAAGCTAATCAACAATTACAAAAGCACTACCATGAAATTCAAGAGCTTTAAATACACCCACTCAGCCACAGTTGGACTTGATATAATTTCCAGTACATTCTAAAGTGAGAGTGATGTGATTTTGACACTGCCCATTGACAGCTGTTTAGAAGAGCCCGTGAGTGGAATCACTGCATTATCAGCTCTCTTTATACAATAAAGGTGATTCATTTCAACTGATGTGCTGAGCCATTTGAACGTGTTGCTGTAATACAAAATGAAAATGAAAGAATGTTACTTCATAAAACGAACATTTGGATTTTGGACTTACTTTATCAGAATATAGGAATAAAAGCAATAAAGGCAAGATCCATTTATTTTTAAACAACTTGAGAGAACTTTTTCTCTCATATGGAACTATACAAGGCAAAAGCCCATTCACAAAAACCAATTGGATGTGGAGGCCTCTGACTTCCAATCATTAAACATTGCAGGGCAGTAAATGCCAAGGCTTTTGGATGGCATGTATCTTTCATTACGTGTTCAAGCGGAAGCAGTGTCAGTGTCAAAGACCTCTCTGTCAGTGTTACTCTTCAAAAAAAGCTAAACTTTTAATCAAATGGGGGAGCAGTAATTTTGTGCTAAATTATTTTTCTTTTTCAGTATGGATGGGAAATGGATTACTTTGTATATGAGATCTTTATACAGAGGATCAGTTTGCATCCTATTTGCAACTTAAACATAAGTTTGAACTTCCTCAGTCCCATTTTTTTCCAAGTTAGATTTTTTTTTTTTTTCATATAGTGAATTTTCTATTCAGATTTATTTGAAGCACTTTTCAAAGCAAAGTTAAAAATGTTTGTTTACCAAATTTGATAGATATTGTATTTAAATGTTAACATAGATATCACTTAAAAAATGTATAAATATTTTTTTCTCAAATTTTCCACAGGCCCCCTAAACACATCCCCGCAAAGTCCCCGGACCCCATTTGGAAAATTCACCTACTGACCACAGTAGCAGCAACAACACAGCCTTTGAACATTTTCTATTTAGTAATCGTATAACAATAATCGTAGGCAAGAACAGAACAATTATTAATTCCGTAATACACAGTGCTAGCAGCTCCAACCGGAGATATCTACTCAGAGATCTATATTTAGCATAAGCTCAATCTAGCCACAACAGCATACGAAAGCTGCCCTCTGCAACTGTCATTCCTGGCACAGAATGAGCAAGAGGTTCCGTTACGTACCCATGTCTCCGTCGCCCCACGGCACATCTAGCCATTGATACGTATACGCCATAGCCTGTAAATGAAAGGACGCCTATCATCTCTTGGTGCAAAAAGTAGCCGTAGGCCTATTCTCTTTTTTAGCTTAGCTGAGCGATGGGTTACTGGCTGCCACTGAGATTCCAGAGTGACATGTGGAGCTTTAGGTCACAGCTGTGCTTTAGTCAGTTACAATGATACTAGACTACTAGATGCTGTTTTTTTTATGATGCAATTTTGTGTTTTCTTGTGCACTTAAAGAGTTAAAACTACTTCATTAGTGATATATAGCCCTGTTTATTTCTAATCAAGAAACATACTGTAGGTTGTTGCCTGATGGGCACTTCTCACTGTTCTCAGTATGAACGCTGGTTGACTAACTGCAAGCAGTCTTTATTGTGATATTCTGAGAGCTTTCATGAATATTTCAGATCCTGTTGTGTTCATGTGACTACAGCTGAGCTCCACGGAGACTAGGACTACTTGTAACTTCCCTGTTTATAGACTCCTATAGTCATGGAGACAGTCCTATTCAATTCTATGGTGTATTGTAATAATATAAAGGAATCCCTCCCTTAATAAACAAACATTAGGGTAAAAGCCTATGTTTAATACATGATACAAGTCCGCTAATAGTGTGATTTGTTTACTTGAACTCTGATGCCCTTGCAAAGAGGCTTTAAATATAACCAACTCCAACTAGGAATGACTAAACGCACAGTAGCTGTGTGCAGCAATAAAAACAATGAAATCTTTATTGTTTTACATTTAACTAACAACTACTAGGCCAAGTACACAATATGATAAACACAATACAATAGTGCATGCTACTTGTACGTTGCTATAGCTACTTAGGCTACTAATATTGTTGCATAGTCTGCAAATAGCTAGTCAGCTTTGTATTTTCGGTTGTGGGAAATTATGAGAAAGAATCAAGCTTTGGAAGAAAACACGATCCAACACTGGAAATAACATTACCAATGATGTCATATTCACTTCATTCTGCTCCATTGCTTCATGTGTGTGTGTATGAATGACACTTCGTGGCAATTATGCACTCGATACCTATCCCTAGTCTTATTTTGTTGTTTAATAATTTTAATATACAATTAATGTAGGCCTATAACAATATTCATGATGATTTGATATTAACATTATTAGAATAACATAACAGGCTATACAAATATGTCATATTATTATTATATTATTTATCATAACTAATTATTAATATTTATTAATAATATTATATATATTAATATTTATCATATTACATTATTTGCCATGTTAGGTAGCCCCTATACAAATGCATTACTGCAATGAGATAGCTAGGGCGCAAAAGGCACATTTATTTACACGTTTCTATAACTCACCTTGACTAATCAAAATACCCCAGCGCACTTTCTTTTTCGCAGAAAAACCCTCGACGTCCTCTCGCTTTCTTTTCTTGGGAGTATTATCTGAGTTCTCGGATTCTCCGCAGGGAACTTCAGGCATGTTTGCGTCAGGTCTGAGTCTTTCTTTTTACACAGCGAGTGTGACCATATAGCGCTTCTCTCTGAGATTGGCTGCTCGGCTTGTTGTTGTTTCAGACCTCAGCAGAGTCGTGTTGGCTACTGCAAAGATTTAGCATATGAATATTAATAAGTTCACGCTGACGCTTGGTAATCTTTCTGGAGCATCCAGTTACGTAACGTAATTAATATTCATAAGCCGAGCCTTTGCCATAGTAGAATGACGGGGGCAAAATTGCTCCTTCTGGACGTTCGTCACGGAACGTAATTTATATTCATGATGAGGTACTACATCTTCACTAGGCTACCATATCCGTACCCGTTAAGCTATTTATATCGCAAGTTAGTATTAGAAAGGTGCCACAGCTAACGTTATATTGTAAAATGTTTGACGTTCATCTCATTTAGTTTGTACATAGCCTATACAGCATTTGAAGTATTCAACTAATCTGCATGTTATTGAGATCATGATAGGCCTACAGAGCAGCAAAATAGTGGGAAAAAAAAGGTTAAGATGAGCATTTCCAGACATAACCACCACATTTTAACTGAATTCTTCAGGTTACACTTTATTTTAAGGTGACATTGTACTTACATAAGGAGTAATTAACTAGCTACTTATTGAGTTACAGTTAGGGTTTGGTTAAGGGTTAGTTATTGTACTTACTTACTGCATAATCTTACTATAGTATGCTAAGTAGCAACATGTAGTAATGTGTAACTATGTCACCTTAAAATAAGGTGTTACCTTCTGAGATATAGATTACTGAATAAATGTGAGGGATGGGTTTCTATTTCTGTAGTGAATCACACCAAATATTTTCATGTAAAATAAAAAAAACAAATTAGCCTACTTAGCCCACTATCGTAATAACAGTAAACTGCAAAATTGCATGCAACTGACACAAACCAAACCCTAATCCAACCCCTAACCCTATATTAAGTAGGCTATATGTTGTTGATTAATATTCATCAGTATGCCTACTTAAAGGTATAATTACATTTTATGCATTTACAAAGACACTTTAAAATGAATAATTTATCATTCAAATTTATAATTACAAGGACACTTTAAAATAAAGTGTAACCAAAATGATTTTTTAAGTGTAGCTAAGAGAAAGCGATTTTAATAACTCAGCATTAGATAAGAACACTGACCCAATTTTCTTAGTGTTACAAACTGGGCCATGCAACAGAAGCTTTCTCTTTACACAACAAGTCAACGTTTTTGCAGTGTTAACAAAGAGATATAAAGAGTGATAAAGCCAATCTCACCCTAGTGACTCGTCTCAGAACCTGCTCCAAAATATAGGCTACAGCCCCAATATGTCCCAATCTTGCCTACTTACTGTGCCCTTGACCAAAATCATAAAACTCAGCTGCGATCCGGGCCGCCTCCTTACGGTTTCCTTTAACCGCATAGAAGTGGGTCAGTATGTTTAAGCTGATCTTGACAAAAAGTTTGAAGCAAAAAAGGACAAAAATCGAGAGATAGACTTTGCTATACTGCGAGCCGAATGGCCGCTCCTCCAAAATCTCAGTCATTGCTGCTGCTCAGTGACTGTGAATGTTTTGGAATGGGATCCAGGGATGTGTCGATGGGGATCATATGCCAGACCGGCCCAGTTATTCCCCAAGACAGCTGGGCTCAGAGTATGGATGAGATAAGGCAGCTGGACCTTTAGCTAGTGGAAAATGGGCCACTTGACTGAGCCATAACAATAGGTGTTGACTGTCATTTGGATGTTTGTCTCATGATACATTGTGACAGTTCTGTTTTTTATTACATTTGTATTTTAACATATTGTTGCTAATACAGCAGACTTCAGATGATTTAAAGATTATTTTTTGTTTATGTATTGCCATTTTAGAAATACCCATTCACAATCGGCCATGATTAATTATGTTACTGGAGTTCCCAGGTTAAAGCCAGTTTTTGATTGATCATGTGATCCATGGGAGCTATATTTTGTTTGTTGAAACAAGTATTAATACAGATTGCATGTGATTTTTCTCCTGAAAGCGTTTTTAAACATTCAATTTTGCTTGTACGTTTTTAAGAGCTTGTAAGAGATCCTTCTGAATAAATGCAGCATGTTTATAGGAGACATCAATATTTTAGTAGGAATATTATTGTGAATCAGCCATAAAAGCTTCTTGTTGATAAATTTAATAAAAAAATTAAACTTGACTGAAGCTTGGAATACTATTCGTAAAAATCAATCAATCAATCAATAAATACTGTTTAAATAACAATGTAAAATAGGTTGCATTTAAAATTTGACATTGTATATATCTAGCTAAAAGAGTGTTAAAGAGATTTAATTTAGATATAGATTCTTCTTCTTCTTTTTTTTTTTTGGTGCAGGGTATGGGAAATTGTATTAGAAGGAAAACAATATGCCTAAGTAGGCCTATTATTCCAACGAAAATAAGAATAATTGTATTAGCCTATACAATTATTCAAGGTCTAACTGTCAAATTTCATTAATTTCCTCCAGTAGACCAAGGACTACAGCACATGTTTGGGGAACATAGTCAACAATAAAAAGCAAATAAGAACTGTAATGTTAATAAAATGCAGTTTTAATAATGTTGTAGGCCTATTTAATGTAGTAATGAATTGTTGCCATGTACACTGGTATTTTTGTGTATAATTTTGACTATTCATGCAATGCCACTTCCTGACCACTGGGTGGCAATGTGTACTTTCTAAATGAAACAGGAAGTAGGTCTTGCTTCCGAATCATCTTTTAACTGCCTCACTTCCTGCTCTGAACCTCCGCTCGAAGCGTTTCTTTATATCTTTGTTTTTGCAGTGCATTGTTAGTTGTTAACTAGACTGAATCATGAATACGGTATTGTCGAGGGCGAACTCACTCTTTGCATTCTCTCTCAGTGTGATGGCAGCGCTCACATTCGGGTGCTTCATTACCACAGCGTTCAAAGACAGAAGCGTACCGGTGGATATACACGTATCCAAAGTCATGATGTAAGTTAACTGCACTGTTTCTGAGCCTGCGAACAGAGGTTCAATACAAAATCAATGTTACGATCATTAAAATATAGAAGTTATTTGATATATATTAGGCATCGCCGACCATTTAGAATCATATTTGTTTGCAGCATATGGGACTTGTAGATGCTGAGCTGATGGCCAATAGCAGTGCAGCACGTCAGCTGTGCAAATTAATTAAATAGAAAGATCTTGTTTTTATGCTTTTGTTCAACAGTATTTTGAAACGTTTAAAAAAAAAAAAAAAGGTTTATTTTGTGGGTAATGTGCATTTTAAATGTGTGTGTACCGTCAGGTTGCAGGATATTTTCACAACGTTTCTAAAATGTTTTATTTTGGTTACATTATTTTTTTATATTTAGGTGTGGTTTATTAAACGTTTTTAAAACGTTGCACTGCAACATTACCTAATAGCAACCAAAAAACAACGTTGTGAAACGTTGTAAAAACGTTACGTGTTTGCTGGGAATGTAGTTTCGTCTTTCACATCTGTGTTTCACACATCTAAGCTGAGATCTTCTGTCTCATTCTTTCTCCAGTAAAAATGTAGACGACTTCACAGGACCACGAGAGAGGAGTGACTTGGGCTTTGTGACATTTGACCTTTCTGCTAATATCCTTTTGACAGAACACAGTCACATCCATGTTGATGAAAAAAAGTCACTTAAGCCATAGTTGTTCAAATTTGTATTTATTATTTCACGTTTCTGTATTAATTACATATTTAGCATTATTTCTACAAAAGTAATTCCTGTATAAATGCATTTATGCCACCTCGGTTCACCATTCTGCAGTCTTTGTAAATGCAGCTTTTGTTGAATTTGTGCCTCTTTGAGATGCAGCTTCCATATCAGCTTTGCAGTGCAGTTTACATCTAGAACTAGATTTGCATTATTTGCTTTAACCGCTTTATTACATCTGCGGCCAATATTTGACTGGAATGTGAAGGAGCTCTTTCTTTACCTGACTGCTGAATATTCAACCAAAAGCAATGTAAGTCTATACCACTTCAGTATATCCAGAGCTTTTAAAATCTATGTGAATGAGAGCTGGGTATTTGTTGTGTTGTATATACTAGACCTGTTTGTGTTTTTCACATCAATAAAGTGTACCATGTTATCCCATGTTAGGCACTGAACCAGGTGGTTCTATGGGACAGGATTGTCTTGAGAGGTGACAACACCAAACTAAACCTGAAGGAAGTTAAATCCAAGTATTTCTTCTTTGATGATGGGAATGGTTTAAGGTTAGTTGCTTTATTCAGAGTATTTCATCTGTGCGGTTTATATACACATTCTCACACACACAAACACGCACACAATCATTCAAAAGTTTTAGATCGGTAAGATTTTTAATGTTTAAAAGAAGTCTCTTCTGCTCACCAAGGCTGCATTTATTTTATATAACGGTTTTCTATTTGAATATATTGTAAAATCGAATTTATTTCTGTGATGCAATTAAGCTGAATTTGCAACATTACTCCAGTCTTCGGTGTCACATGATCCTTTAGAATCATTCTAATATGCTGATGCTGATTTGGTGCTCAAGAAACATTAATTATTATTATCAGTGTTGAAATCAGTTTTGTAAAAAAAAAAAAAATCAGAATTCTTTGATGAATAGAAAGTTCAAAAGAATAGAATCTGAAGTAAAAAAGCTTTTGTAACATTATAAATGTCTTTACTGTCACTTTTGATCAATGTAATACATCCGTCCTGAATAAAACTTCATTTCTTTCCATAAAAAAATTCTACTGACCGCAAACTATCTATTTTAATTTTTATTTATAATTTTTACATATAATTTTTTACAATAAAATTATTCCAAATTGTATTTCTATTGAATTGTTTCTAAATATTAGATCTTAAGCGTATTATGACTGAAATATGAGTCATGCATATTTCAGTCATAACACACTTAAGATCTTGTATTTGGAAATTAATTTAAAATGAAATTTAATTTGAAAAATCAATCAGATTTCTCATAAGTAAAACAATAAGAGAAACATCATAAAACACACATCTTCTAAGTTGAACTAAACTCAAATGAATATTGACAATGTAAACCACATTTGGAATAGATATTTGGGTAACACTTTACAATAAGGTCTCATTTGTTAACGTTAGTTTATTTTAGCTAATGCATTATCAATTAGCAATATATTTTCGGACATAATTGTTTAATGATTGTTAATGCTAGTTAATACAAATACAATTATTTATTCTTTGTTCATGTTATTTCACAGTGCATTCTCTAATGATACTTTTGAGTTTAAAGATGTGATAGTAAATGCTGAAATGAACACACCGATTAATAAATGCTGTAGAAGTATTGTTCATTGCTGGTTCAACTAAACTAATGTTAACAAATGAAGACTTATTGTATGGTTTTACAAGTATTTGACATGTAGAACTGAAAAGTATAGATATTTATTTGATATCTCTCTGTTTTTCCCAAACACAGGGCGAATAAGAACATCACTCTCACTCTCTCATGGAATGTGGTGCCAAATGCTGGAATCCTGCCATTGGTCATGGGATCTGGACACAAGAGTCTCGCCTTTCCTGAATCATATGAAATGGCAAAGAGCTACTGAACTGTTCCAGTCCATCTCAAACCATATTTGTAAATGTTGTGCTCTGTACGGGTTTTAATAAAAGTTGACACATTGTTTTAAGGAGTGACTGTTGTTTATGCGGGTTGATAATTTGTTTTGCAACATACTAATATTTCAAGAGATGGATAGGCATATTCAGTTCTGTGGCCATTAATACAGTTATAGTTCCGAAAAAAGGGATCCTGATAAGCTTTTTCATCTGGAAAATAATTATCTGGTGTTTCACAATTGTCTTGTGTGGATACGAATATTTTTGTTAATAATCTGTTTTGGTCCGTGGTACTAAAATGTCAGTTTTTCATTATTACAACTAAAGAGCTCACAAAGCAAAAGTACTTGTAACCAATTAAAGGAAGCACAATCATTCACTAAAAAAAAAAAAAAAAAAAAAAAAAAAGATCAGTGGGGTTCAACACTCCTGTGGTGCTTGACTCAGTTTTAAGGATGCCAAAAGGATCTGCAAAAAAAAAAAAACCATATATATATATATATATATATATATATTGATGAGAAATGTTTTAAATGATTGCGTAATATTTTCATGATAAATGGGTTATTTATTTTTTCTACTGATAAAGTATATTCACGAGCTGTTTGATTCATAACATTTAATTCAAATTAAATGTGAATTAAAAATAATTCCATACAATTATCCCATAATGGAACCCCTAAAAGGTTATATACATGAAGCACCTGACAGAACACTTTAAGGTTTTATATAGAATCGTCTTAGAGTGTTCAGATCAAGGTTACTCATAGCACACTGAATAGGCACCTACATGCAGAATTTGGTTCCAACTCTAATCAAACACACCTGATCCAAATAATAATGTTCTTTGGGCTTATTTGAAAATTACAAGGTGTGTGGAGTGCATTTGCTGCTAAACTGCGTCGCAAAGTGTCTCTTTAAAAAGTGTCTGACATTAAATTCCAAGTAAAAAC